TAAGCTATTACTCAGAAGCCTCAGCCACAAGAAAACACCAGAGTGAAGATAAGTGGACACGGCCTTGTAATTGATGACTTCTGCCATGTCCCTTTCAACAGCCAGACATTATACAGCCCAGTGCTGATATTACATACTATTCCTGATACCTGCGTTTGATGATCAAGTACTGGTGCATGAAATAAAACTGCTTAGAGTGATGCTATGCTACACACTTACAACAGATTGTTCTTCAAGGGTTCCTTAGTAAGGGAGATGGTTCTGTTTAAAACCATGATATCTATATAGAACCATTTCATGCTCCTTTTTGAAAATGGTTCTGTGTAGCACCAAAATGGGTTCTGCTATTGCTATGATGGCAAGCTTCTAACAACAGAAGAACCATATAAGCATGAAATGGTCCTATATAGAACTTCTGGTTCTAAATATTATAAATATCATTCTTTTACTGAAGAACCCTTGAAGAACCATCTTCATAAGAGTGTGGTACTTTAAACTTAACTGACACCACTCAGTTGAAAGGTTCTTTAAGGGACCAAAAGTGCTTCTCTTGTAGACAAACCCTTTTTGGTGCTATTTATAAAAGTTTTGAAATAAGGTCCATAAAGAACCATACACAACACATTTTTCATCAATCCAAAGAACCAATTTACCATGCAAAGCATTGTTTAAGCATGCAGATGATTTTATATAGAATTCATGGTTGTAAATAGAACCATTCCTTTTACCAAAGAACCCCTAAAGAAGCATCTTCTTAAAAGTGTGGTTCTTTAAACTTAACTGACACTACAAAATAGAAAAAGTATTTAAAGAACCAAACAGTTCTTTCTATAGAAGACCTTTTTTTCTTTGCTGCTATCTAGAACCAATTTTTGGTTCCTTGGCATGCTTAAATGGTTCAATGCATAGTGAAATCGTTCTTCTGATTGATGAAGAATATGTTGTATATGGTTCTATATAGAATCTTTTTAAGGAGCAATTTCACCATGCAAAGAACCATTGAAGCATGCAAATGCTTCTAAATAGAACCATTGCCTTTATTAAAGAACCCTTGAAGAACCAATCTTTTTTAAGTGTGCATATGGTTAAAGGTGCCTCACCATCAGCAATGGTATTCATAATAAAATATAAAGGTATAGCAGGCAGTTAAAACTATGAGGAGCGCAGGTTCATCAGCAGAACACATTAGAGTAAAAGATCTAGAAAAAAAAAGAATATCAAATAAATAAATAAATAAATAAATAAATGAATAAATGAATAAATGAATGTTAGATGTAGCCTAAATTATAATGTGGATAATCCATTACTGACAAACTATACTATTTTTTAAATTATAAATTTTTACTTCTGATGATTTGTGATCAGTTTTCCTTTGTATTTGCTTGTTTCTTTGCTTGTTGTTGTTATAAATCATTTCATTAAGCACAGCAGCTACATGGCACAGTTACAACCAAATAGGCTCATCCTCATGGCTTGACAGTGTGGCTCAAACATCATAAAATAACTGAAACGTTTTTCTTTTTTTCTTGCCACATCCTGTACAAATACTTTTTATAGCTTTACAGTAGAAACAAATGATCAGTAGGCACTCGGTGACAGTACCTGTAGTTCAGTACACAATTTACTGTACTGCTTCTTTACAGGACGCTTTGACGTTGGTTGGCCTCAGATGAGTCATTTTGGCCAGGAAGTTGGCCGTAACCACAAGCAAGTCATTTTGGAATGGCTGATGTTACAAATAATGAGAAAGAAAATAATGCCCGGACACGTGCACAAAAAAAAAATAAAATAAAAAAGGGAAATCTATCAGATGAAGGACCAATAACCCAAAACTATACTGACATTAAATGGAAATTTCTCAGCCCACACAAAGGCAGGACTTTAGAAAACACTTATGACTAAAGCCATTGTTTAAAAAGAAAAACAGGCACACGAAGGAAACCATTGTGGGTTACGCTGCCTACTCAATATGAAGAGTGACCCAGTTTTCTCATGCCCTGCTGAAACTGTGTGTTAACCCTTGGGTGGTGTTCATGGTGTTGTTACTCAGTGGTCTGGTGGACCCACCGCATTATTGTTTTTTTTTTAAATCAATACAGCCCTAACAATTTATGTAAAAATACCAGATGTTTAAAATATCACAAGTGGCCAGCGTAGGGTTCTCCTTTAGCAGCTGTAGCCAGTCAGCAGCCTGTCCATGTTGTCCACCCTCACACACACACACACACACATATACACATATACAAACACATACACACACACACAGACACACACACACACTAACAGCAGGCCATGTAGGAGGAGAACAGAGTGAAGGGGCACAGCACCTCCACACACCACATGTGTAATATAAATGTGTAGGGGGTGAACAGTGTGAGGTCATTGAAAATGTGTCATTTTATATGTTCGTCACAGAAAATGAGTAAAGGTCAAGGAATCTGAGGTTCAAATAATAATAAATCGCATCATTTTTCTTTTGGTAAACATTGAAAATGGGTCCCACAGACCTGAACACCACTCAAGGGTTAAACATCAAAAAATATGATGCTCAAACATGAAATTAACGCAAATTTTGTTTCAGTGCTGTTAACTAATTTTCCTAGTTTGACTTGTCGAACCATCTGCAGTTCCAGCCTGAAGTCCTGCAGCTTGCCTACTGTATTTTGCCATGATGGAATTTGTGACCATAGCCCCCTCGTTTAACAGCTTAGATAGCTGTTAAGTAGATCTCTGAAGTCATGCGTCTTTCTGTATTCGGTGTCTGGCCTATTTTAGGAACTCTTAGGGTCTAAGCTGGTTTACCCTATGAGAAAAATTAATGCAGTTTATGAAAATTGTGGCTGGCTGTACTGCAAACAACAGCTTCTTTAAAAATGAACATCTGAAACGTGCACAAAAACACTCTGAGATGCCACAATAGCCTGCTTGACCCAGCAAATTATAAATGTGATTAATATGAACCTGGACCACATCCGACATTAGCGGACCACATACCACAAGAAAAACACAGAAATGGGCCAGATGTGGTTGCAAGAACCAAAATATTTATTCACTCCTACTGAATAAAAAATGCAATACTTCATTTATCTAAACTGTGCCATTAAACTCAATAATAATAAAAATATTATTATAACAACAGTTATAATAATAATCATTACAATAATTGTTATTATGAAATATTAGGCCTAATACAGCTGTCTGTTACAGTTGTGAGAGGAAAGCATCTCAGTCACCTTTAAACCACCACTGTCAGAACTGACACACCTCACAAACGCCAGGTTTGGCCCAAAATGTAACTGCCATACATACATTTCACATGGTAGGTTGCATGTGGGCCACAGGCGGCCCAGAGTCTGAATGCCATGACAAGCTTTAAACATGGCAGCTGCCAAAGGTGGGCAAGTTCAGTCCACAGTACATGTGCCATTGCCATAACTAAGCCATACGTGCCTTAACTGGGCCATATTTGGCCCAGAAATGTCTGCTATCTGGGTGGTGCTGATTTATCTTTGGTGCTAATATATCTGTGGTGTTATGAGGTCTGCCTGATAGGCAAAAGAAATAAATGAGCATGTCTTAAAGATGAGACACGTTTCAAATGCATTGCTTAATTCCAAAATGTGTGTATATATATATATATATATATATATATATATATATATATATATGTATATATATATATATGTATATATATATATACATATATATATATAGTTATACATATATAATATAGTTATTGCACAGAGAAATGTCAGAAATGTGCAGAAATGTCTTCTTCTTCTACACCACAACACGGCACAATATGTTGTGTCAACAAGTCTGTGGTGGTGCTAATACGTCTGTTGTGCCAACGGGTCTGTGGCTCTAACGCAGAGGTGCACAACTCAGGTCCTGGAGGTCTGGTGTCCAGCACAGTTTGGAGGTTTCCCTGCTCAAACACACCCTGGCAATTAGCAGATAAGTGTAATCAGGTGTGTTGAGCAGGTAAATCACCAAACAAACTTGTTCACTCCTACTCTAACGGGTCTCAGGTCTGTGGCTCTAACGGGTCTCAGGTCTGTGGTTCTAACGGGTCTCAGGTCTGTGGCTCTAACAGGTCTCAGGTCTGTGGCTCTAACGGGTCTCAGGTCAGTGGCTCTAACAGGTCTCAGGTCTGTGGCTCTAACAGGTCTCAGGTCTGTGGCTCTAACAGGTCTCAGGTCTGTGGCTCTAACAGGTCTGTGGCTCTAACAGGTCTCAGGTCTGTTGCTCTAACAGGTCTCAGGTCTGTGGCTCTAACAGGTCTCAGGTCTGTGGCTCTAACGGGTCTCAGGTCTGTGGCTCTAACGGGTCTCAGGTCTATAGATCTAACAGGTCTCAGGTCTGTGGCTCTAACGGGTCTCAGGTCTGTGGCTCTAACAGGTCTCAGGTCTGTGGCTCTAATGGGTCTCAGGTCTATAGATCTAACAGGTCTCAGGTCTGTGGCTCTAACGGGTATGTGGCTCTAACAGGTCTCAGGTCTGTGGCTCTAACAGGTCTCAGGTCTGTGGCTCTAACAGGTATGTGGCTCTAACAGGTCTCAGGTCTGTGGCTCTAACAGGTCTGTGGCTCTAACAGGTATGTGGCTCTAACAGGTCTCAGGTCTGTGGCTCTAACAGGTCTCAGGTCTGTGGCTCTAAAAGGTCTGTGGCTCTAACAGGTCTGATGCTGTGCGTCAAATTATTAATTCATCATTTTTAGTGGTTTTAGTTATGAGGGCATTTGAGGGAGAAAAATTTTCATAATTTTGAAAATGGAAAGAGTAAAAATAAAAAATTCTAATATAAGCATTCTGCATAAAAAAGGAATATTTCCCTTAAACAGTTCTGCGTTTGGAGCGGTGGGGTTTAGCATTTTTGGCTATTCGCAACCCCCCACAGCTCAGAGGCAGCACGCCGAACAGCAGCACTTAAGTTTATTACTTAAATCCTCTTACGGCTATTCTCTCCTGATTGGACGCGGGAATAGCCGGGACACAAGCAGCGTCCAGTCAGCGTCAACTTGCTGACCTCGCGGGTTGTAAACCTCATCCGCCCGTGGTCAAAACCTGTCGAACCGGCCAGCGTGTCCTGTAGACACGGACAACAAACTACAGCATGACGATAGCGGGGATAACAGAGACACCTGAGACCGGCAGCGTTTGGGCAGAGCAGTCCTTTAGGAAGTGGTAGAGGATGAAGAATTGATCTGTCCTCACAGTTATGTGAGGGTCCCGGTGGGATGACGGTCACTCAAGAGAACAAAATGGACTGGATGCATCAGCGGTGTCACAAGGATACGATGTCGAAGTCGCGACTTTTGCTCATTTGTGGGGTAAGTCTCATGATGAGAAGTTAGCATCTTATTAGCCAGTTTGTCATTCGAATTATCCGTTCCACCTTAAATGGTGCAGCGGTTCTATTCTGGAGCCTGGATACTGGACAGGCTGCACCAGTGTTTTAAGGTGGAACGGAATATTCGAATGAGAAACTGGCGTTCGAGTTTGTCTCTGAATTCTCCTGAGCAGAACGTCCGAAAATGACCAAAGCTGAAGAGGACAGAGAGCGAACTCGACTCGAATACTTTCTCAAATAATTCCTATTTAAATCTCATTGAAGATCAACGCCGCTTCAGTCGGTGAGTAAGGGACCGTCTGAAAAGTGCAGTAGGTTACCGTGTACTGTGGGCTCAGCTATAAAATGACTAAAAATGAATAAAATCACTTGTGGAAGACACAGAAGGGCGTCGTTTACATCTGCTGTTACCTTTTGGCAAGTCTGAAATCATTTTTATAACTTAATTACTACTGTGTGCTAAGTTTATTAGCTCATACAGCTAAAAATCACTTGTGGTCTGAGCCTAGTAAAGAGAGTGGTTTCATTTTTATAGAAAGTTAATTCATGACCTTTTGTTTCTGTTTCCTGCTAGAAAAACCAGCATGGACCAGTATGCCTGGTCATCAGCAAAAACAGCATATCGTCACTGTCTAAAAAAAGATGTAATCTTTAGTTTTCTGCATATGTTGAGCTCAGCAGCTGTCCTTTACACTGTGCAGAAATTTCATGACTATTGGACCAATAGAAATGCCTCAAAATTGCTTCAAACAAAATATCTTTACATTATCCAACATCGAAAGTAAAGAAGTTTTTGCCCTCTCCTGTAAAGTTACCATTATTTTTTTTGGAGAGCAACAATATGTTGTGTTTCGATGCTGGTATGCTGGTAAACCAGCGCCAGACCTGCATTATACCAGCGTAAACCAGCATAAACTAGCGTAGATGCTGAAATGATGCTTTTTTTTCAGCAGGGTTATGTCTGAATGTCATGGCTTGAAATTTGCTTGTAGCATTGAGAGCAGCCCATCCAGACCTACAACAAGTTCAGTGTTAAAGGAGAATTCCACAGATTCGTCAAAATTTCTGTTTAATTCATTTACTGAAATGTGAACAGGCATTCAGAGTAGTTTGGTGTGAAATGGTGATGGTGATAGGAACCAGGGGTCACCGTGTCTACAACACAAATATAGCAATTTTATTTACTATCCAAAACCTCCAGTGAATATACAGGTGTCTGCTGAGTTTTATATGTAATGTTGAAAATGGTAAAATAGTGGTAAATATGAAAAAATAAGTTTTCTTTGGGGTCTATGTTGCCTCACAACGCCCTGCCTGTACCCCTTGACCATGAATAGATTTAAAAAATAAGTTTCAGAACCAAAAGTTTCTCAAAATTAGTGTAACACGCTGTTTCCGACATTAGGACAATATTTCTTGTAATAACTTTCTGTGAGGGAGCTTTTAGAGGTGGACGTCTGGATCCCATCACCACCACTGTGGACAATTTTGACTTGGCGAGTTTATCTAGAACAGAGCATTTCACACCAAACCACTCTGAATTACTTTGTTTACATCTCAACCATTTATTTGTGCAGAAACTTTAAAGAATCTTTTTCATTACCTAATCAGTCGTAACCTATTTATGTAATGTTATGCAACAGTTAGTTTCGGCCACGCAAGCTGATCGGGTTTTTTGCAAACACCGTATCACTCCGCTAAGATGCCGTTGCTAAGCAAAGAGTTTGACAGCTGTAGGAGACGCTCAAGCCATTTGAACGTTTTTACTTCCTACTTTGCCACAAACAGAAAATGGATGCTTTTAAGATCACATTTGACCAACAGCCGATTTGGTCAGACTCTGAAGATGAGACTACACTAAATTCCCAAACTGTCATCACCACTGAGCAGTTTTTCCATCGGCCCCTGCGACAGAAGAAAACCTAAACAACCTGGAATTAGCCAGAAATTAACCGAATACCATTCGCCAAACGTGTAGTCTCATCTTCAGAGTCTGACCAAATCGGACTGAGCCATAAAACCGCCGCAATAAAAAACAAAAAACTTGCTCAGTGGTAACGACAGTTTCAGAATTTAGCGTAAGGAGCTGGAGAACGAACTGCCGGCTGTGCAGCGAGTGAGCGGAGCTCGTTACTGTGACGTTACAACAAGCTGCTTCTTAAGGAACCATAATTTGGCAGAGGGAATTGCTAACATTAAAACATTTTAAATGCCACATTCACGGCCCAGTTTATTAATTTATTACTTTATTTATTTAACTGTTGTATAAATCAATAGAACACTCAAGCTTGTGTGTTATCATGAATAACGTCACGGCTGTGATGATCTACAGCCGTGATGTTATTTCAAGATAACACACTCCGTCTCATGTTCTGTTGCTTAAATAGAAGTATGTTAATGCAAGTCCATAAACATACGACGCTCTCACACTGTAGTAAGGAAAGGCTCCAGTACAAGCTACAGGAAGTAGAAGTAATTAGTAAAGTAAACTATTCTAATATGGCTGATAAAGCTGTATAACAGAATTATCTGAGTTCCAGGGAGTTAACAACATAGTAACAATCCTTGTAGCTTTGTCCTGTACCAAATATTTGGACACAGTGTTGTGGAATAGCACATTCTTTATGAATAACATTGCAGAAAACTAGCAAATAGAAGCTTGTTGTATTACCAACAAGCCCTACATACCAGGAACTAACTGGTTGCCATGAACTGTTTCCTACAGAACAATGACAGGTTTTGGCCCCCACCCATTACTACACTATAAAAATGGTTTATCAGCTCAACCTAAAAAATACTTAATGTGGTAACAACAAAAGCAAAGTAAGTTTTTTAGGCTGAACTGACTGAACATCTTTTACAGTATACAGTTGAGTTCTGTACCTGTACAAAATATGGCAGCTGATTACCACAATGGAAATAACCTTTTGTTTGTTGTTTATTTGTTGTTTTTCCTAATTATTGACTCCATATCTGTGTGATATATTACGCTTTAGACGATGATACTGACCATCACACTGTACCCAATGCTGAGGATGCTGGGGGTTCAGCTTCATGCTGCACTGAGTGGGAGTTACGTGGCTGGACACCACTCCATATTGCTCATCAACTGTCCTACTGAGCAAGTGGCTAAAGATATTGGCAGGTACACTCACACACAACAAGATTAAGCAAATTCAGAGGTTCTGTTTGTTGTATATGGATGTGTTGTAATCGTACTGGTGAAGATGTACATTTACTTTTTCCATTTGTTTACATTCTTCCTGTTACATTTTTTAATCCTTTTAATTCAATGCACATTCTGTGCATGTAGTTCGTCCAGAGATTCTTCATGCCTCGTCCTGATTGGTGCCTGATTGGTAGTCCATTAATCCCTTCCCCAGACCTTTGTCAAACCACAACGAGGTCATATTTTATATCTCTGTACTCTGTTTCACCAATCAAATGCAGCCAGTCTCATACACATGGTGGACTAGCAATGTGGGCAAACTTGTGGGTGAACCACTTTAAAGGATGACCACAGGGGGCTTGAACAGGGGGCAGTTGTGCCAATAATACTTGACTCATATTCAAGGTAGAAGAGGCTTTGAGCACCTTTGAAAACAATATCTGATGCTAATTTACCATATTTAGCATGTATAGTAGCCGAATGCATGTTTTTCTGCTTAAGAACAACTACACAAAATTCTGTCTAACTCTATTGACTCAACAGTACAAACAGTGTTAGCTACTTAATAAACATACTTAGCAAGAAAGGTGGGTTAATCAGCCAATTTGGCCACTTTTTCTTGTATGTTATTAATTGTGAACAGTGAACCTTTTTGATTTATGGGTAAATAAGCAGCTAAAGCTACTGTTAGCTGGCCTGAATACTTTGAATACTCAAGTTTTCGTTCGTTACACTGGTGTTTGTTTCTGTTTTATTGGGAAGCCACAAAATTTAGCCTAAAGTACATTTCAGCAGCAAAGGCCTAGTAAAAGAACAGTTGTTGTTAAAATATAGAAAATCTTTCACAAAAATACATAATAGCTGGTTTAGCTGAACGCATCTAAATTAATGCCAGGCCTCCATATCACCTCGCCTCGGAGTGCAACATCCTACACCATTTTTCACATGACCATTGAAATTAAAAGAGAAAAGTTGTCTTGAAAAGAAATAACAAGTGGAAGGACTATAAATTATCGGGTGACAATAAAATATCGATTCTCATAAAAATTTCAGTAAAATGTTGGTTTACCATGGAGGCCGGACAAGTTTAATCTCAAATATGTAGACTATATTAACCAGTGTGCTTCCATTGCACACTGCCTCTGACCAAGGTCATCAGTTTAGTAAATTATTGTTTTAAATGTAGTCTAAATGCTACATAAAGTAGGATTATGTCTGTAGAGTTTGTGCATTTTGAAGGATGCTAGACGCATGTCTAGAACAGCTACTGTGGACAATAACACTGATTAAATTGGAAATGTATCTGTTCCGCCTGTCAAACGACAAAAACAACTACAAATATCATCACTTTCAAAAATTCCAAGATACTGTCATATTCCAGACTAGATCTGTAGCACCACACATTGTCAGCTGCAACCAGTCAACGTTGTATTGGAGGGTTTGAAGGTTGTTTGGTATTTAACAAATGTAGGCTATGGCCAGTATATTGTCGCTGTCCAAAAAACAAACATGTATCTTCAAAACGGTGACTTTACAGGACAAGGCAAAAATGTTATTAACTGTCAATGTGGATTAATTTAAAGAAGTTTTATTCTAAATATTCTTGGAGACTTTCTACTGGTCCATTCATTGTGAAGTTTTCACACTGTATGAGAGGCAGTTGCTATGTTCAAGTGAGGTAGATGATGGCAGCTTTATTGTTTTAAAGGGTGATTTTGATTTATTCGGATGCTCGTTCGGAAACCAGCAAGTATTCAAAGCCTCTGAAATGCCGTTCGGGCCAGCCCTAGTATTCATATGTCACAAAATAACAAAGCCGTGTTTGAGCTCTGAGCTTCACAAATTGAATTTAGCTTCCAAATTGCATGGAGTTGTCAAGTCTTATGACAAGGATTGTTATGCAGTGCCATGAATGAGCCACACAGACCAGGTCAAGAAAAATCATGTGTGCTAGGGGTGGCTGATAAGGCAAACAAAACCATATCATGTCATACACTCAGAGACATTTCTGTGATATATGCATACACGTATACGCATCACGATACTTTGAGAGGGAGACAGTGCACTAGTAATGCTTCATTTGAAAACCACTGACATATCTGGATACTTATAAATTATTATTATTTAGCATTTCACATACTGCACTGTCCTAAATCTAATTAAACAGGACCAGTTATGCTCTCTTTGTAATGAAACATGTTGTTGTAAATATTGATGTCCATGATATGCTCAGAAAATCATATTGTTTAAAACAATAATGATACATTATCATCCCACCTCTAATGTGAGCAAAGGAAATACACTGTTTGCAGGTCTTTCCTCTGTTTTTCGTAACGTGTTTAATGAGGTAAGGTACTGTCAGTCTGTGTCAAAGAGAAATGTTTACAGCTGCATGTAAATGAGGTGAGTGTGTGTGTGTGTGTTTCCAAATGAGAACACTGGGAGTCTTTGTGTGGAGATGCAGTTGTGTGCCAGAGCTCCCGAACGAAGCACTTAGGGTCGAGTAAATAGTCCCTCTCACACTGTAACATCTGCACTGTCAAGAGGGCTCGTTGATTTCTGAATAGAAGAATAGCTTCTGTCCAAACACTGCGTTTGGTATAGCAAATATAGGGTTTCCTCTCAGTGTAGCAGCAGCCAACTCACAAGTAAGTCTCTCCACTATAGCACGACAGCACCACACAAGCTGGGGCTCAAAGACTAGCACTGCTGAGCGGTTCAGAGTGTTCAAAAGAGAATAGTGAGTATTTAACTTTACACTTTTGTGCTCCAGTCCTGATCCAAGCTCTATAATATTGAGATATTTGTGGGGCTAAATGGGGATAAAATGCCCCCCTTAAGAACAATGGGCCTCATTCACCAATTCTTCCTATGCTTTTTCTTAAATTTGTTCTTGAGGAAGGTCCTAAGAAAAAGTCTACGTCAAATCTTTGATGTTCTTAAACCACAGAACTGTTCACACGTTTGTGCTCTTGAGTGTGTGTAGAATCTGTTCTTATCTAAGAGCAAATCCCAAATAAGAAATCAGAATCTGTGTAAAAACTACCTAATTTTTCTATAGAAGGTTGGTGAATGAGGCCCAATGTCCATTTACTGTGAAGCTAAACCCTCTATGCATGTCCAGGAAGATAACCCCACACACAGTTGGGGGAAATAAACAGGAACAGCAGACAGTTTAGCTTTTGTAGCAGAAGAAAATCGGTGACACTTTATTTTGAGTGGTCCTTTTTAGATGACACGAACACTCAAAAGACTCTCAATAACATGTCAAAAACAGGGGTTAGGATTAGGTTTTGGGTTGAGGTTAAGGTTAGGGTTAGGTTTAGGGCCAGAGTGAGGGTTAGGATTATGTTTTGGGTTGAGGTTAAGGTTAGGATTAGGGCCAGTGGTAGGGTTAGGTTTTGGGTAATGGAAGTAACTTATTAACAGTACATCTACTTAATGTAAGTAATGTATCAACAGAACATCTACAAGATATCTACTTGTGTAAATACAGTGTATTCAGATGCTGCACTACTGCTACTTCACTGATATGTTGTTTTTGTGTTACTGATAATCTGTGAAGAGTTTATTAATCATCTACAAAATACCACTCCAAATAAAGTGTTACCAGAAAATCTTAAAAGGCGCTTTTACCCTAATATACACGTAGATCCTCTACCTGGGTTGAAGTGAATCTCACATCACTTTGTTATCTAGATTTTGCAGAATGTACATGCACTAGCTAAAACATTATGACCACTCACAGATGAAGCAAATACTGTTGATTAGCTCCTAACAGTGGTGCCTGTGAAGGTCTGGGATGTATTAGAACGTAAGCAAACATTTGGTTCTCATAGTTGACGTGTTGGATGTGGGAGAAATGGGCAAGCGTGAGCGACTTTGACAAAGGCCAAATCATTAAGTCCAGACGATTTGGTCAGAGCATTTCCAAAATAGCAAGGCTTGTGGTGAGTATCTAACGACAGTGGCCTGAGGAGGGACAAACCACAGACTGAAGACAGGGTGTTCTGCGCCCAAGGCTCATTCATGCGCAAAGGCAATGAGGCTTATCTCGTCTGGTCTGAACCAGTAGAAGAGCTACTGTGGCACAAGTCACAGACATTTTTAAGGATGGTTATGGGAGGAATGTTTTACAACACATAGTGCATTAATCCCTGCTGCTTATGGGGCTGTGTAGACGCGGAAAGGTCAGAGTTTCTATGCTAACCCCTGTCCGCCGGTGAAAGTGCCTACTATGGGCATGCGAGCGTCAGAACTGGACCTTGGAGAAATGGAAGAAGGTCACCTGGTCTGATGTTTTATGTTTTAACCTGTTAAATTGCTTGTTTCTAGGTTAAACTGATGAACCATTTTTATAGGCTAATTATTAGAGATTAATATTTTTGTGTACATACACATTTGTAAATTGTGACTAAGTCTACCTGGGTTAGCATAGCAGAGAAATGTATATTTAGTTGTGTAGGGTTACAAATGCAGTAAAATGTAAAAATGCAGACATTTTAGCACAGTGTCCCAGCATCACTGAAATATCCTGTTCTCCCACAATACAATAAATCTTTCATAAAATATTGGTTTGAATTTTGTAGAAATCTAATAATCAGTCCTGTGCTGATCATTTTTAAAAATAATTATTTGCTGATACTGATATGATTCTGATATCATTGTGCGTCTCTATGTATGGTGCATCTCTCAGAGATGATAATATTGGCATCCTTAATGAAAATGAATAAAAATCTAAAATCAGTATGTTAAATAAACCACAAATGCAATGAGTGATATTTCAGGCTTAAACAAATGGGGTATGGCTGTATATTTTTATACCATGTTTTAGAACAAAAAAAATTCTTTACGATTACTTTACACTTTAATACTTCAGTAATAATTTATGTTGCAAAAATATTGGCACCCCATTCCATTATTACTATTTGATGATGCTGTCACTTTCAAGAGTACCAGCACTGTGGGACTTTGCCATAACGCTTAACAAGGTTCACTTTTCACTACCATGAAGAACATATCTGGTTCCCTGATATTCTAACGTTCACTTGTGGACTTCCCTCTTCAGTCCATGCCACAGGTTTTTAATTCCCCAACCACAACCACACATAGGCTAACAAAACAGAAGTGACAAAGTCGACATTTGCTACCAAAGACTCAAAGTCTATTAGGTTTAAATCTAAATACTGAGAGGGCTGTTGCAAAACTATATATATAGTGGTGCAACAATTTAGCAAAAAAAAAATTATGCATTGCTATTCATACTTCACAGTACAATATATTTTCGATACAGATGCTAATATACCATTTGCAATTGAAATACATAAAAAATACATAAATACATAAAAAAACAATATAAACAATGGTGCAAGATATATATTATATGTTGCACATGATCCGTCTGGCAAAACCCATTATCACGGCTCATAAAATAAAAGTAGGGATGTAACGATACCGATCGACCCAATACCATGCTCATTTAGTCATAGTCATACTCATAAACATGCATCACTACTAACATCCAATACCACTTGATACCATGTGATGTCAGCCTCATGAAGTGTTGCTGACAGCATGGCAGTTGGACACAAAGTCATTGGTCACTTTGTAAAACAGGCTGCAGAGAGACCATACTGTCCTAATCATGTACATCACTGCGTGGTTTTAGGTTTAGTGCGCAGTGTGGTATGAGTTAGCAAAGCTGCTATAGCACAGTTTCTCAGTTTGTATGCTAAGTACTCTTTATGCAGCGGGTTGTTTGCTTAATGAAACAGCTTTACTGATAACTCTTCATAGACAAAGCTGTCCTTAGAGGCTGCATTTCACATAGCCTGTCAGTCGGACCATTTCATTTTCATGCAGTGTGAGTAGATAAATGTCCACACACAGTGGTCAAAAACAAGATTCCAACAAGATGTAAAACTCAAAATGCGAACTCTTGGGATGTTTTAGCCTTGGTTGTGATTCCTGATGTCACTGTGCTACAGAGACTGTTGTTGAAAGAGACAGCTGAGGATCAAAACTATGAAACATAACTACTTTTCTTACAGCTGTACAGAAACGCACTCTTCTCCACTGCTATGATACTCAATCTAAGGTGTAATTAATGTAACATAGCTAATGCAATCAGCTAGATTTTAATGATTTAGATGTTAGTGCATTACACTTATTTATGTCAACAACTACTTAAATTCTTAGTAGGTTAGTCAGTATGATATGCACTTGGCCACTGTTTGAATCCTGTGTGGATACATAGCCTGAGACATTTGAGTGAGTCTTCACAAATGAGTTGAGGTATAGTTAGACACATAGTTACACAGTTGAGGTATTACCATGGATACCCTCGTGCTACCCCCACAACACTGGCACACTGTCACCGTTCAGTCTACCGCTCATTTCCCATCATTGTATTCAACGGGGAAGTTAAATGTTCACAAACAGGAGATTAGTATGTTTAAATCGCTTCTGATGAGAACGGTACTACTGCACTGTAGAAACCTAGCAATTGTGTTGAGTGATATGTGGAGTTTTTAGTATGATATAGATAGATAGATAGATAGATAGATGTACATTGCATTTCATCTCCGTATCATGCAGCCTTACTAAGTGTAGGGAAATAAGTCAAAGTTGTATGTTAAAGATGCGGCCGAAGGTTGAAAAGGGCTGGAGTATTCCTTTAAGGCTTATTATTGAATATGAATATTCAGTAACTAATACGAAACTAACATGGTTTCATATTGCATCACGGTGAGTAGTTATCAAAGTGAAGAACGTATGTACAGGACTTTACATCAATTCCAGTGGAGTTCACAATAAACAAGTAACAGAACTGTCACCTCCATGTGAGAACAATACTGCTGCACTGTAGTTCATTCAGCCAAACATGAAGCAGCAACACAGCTCAGCATCATTTCTTCACACAGTAAGCCGTACCTTCTCCATTCTCTTTCACAACTCTAGCCTAGCAACGTTGTTTGCCATGTCACTGTAATATGAAGTAATTTCCTCAATTGCAGTCCAGTTTTTTCTGCTTTTATTTTGTTTCTGCATGTCTTATATTTCAAAAAGTGACCTTAGTCCTGTTGGTTTTCTGTTTCGGTTTAAATTGCTCTTATTTTTAAATCTTGTTTTAATTTTCATTTTAAACTGTTCTGTTTTTGTTGTTATTTATTCATCTTATCTCGGTGTCAGGCTGCATAGCACTTGGCTCTGCAGTGTTTGTACAAAATGCACTAACCATACTTCATTTGTTTTACTTTATGTTCCGTTTTTAGGTTTTAGTGGAAACGTAGTCAGTGAATTATACACGAACATATTTAACGTCAAACATGAATGTTAATATCCTGAACTTTTCTTTCCTCTCTCTTTCCCTCTCTTTTAGACACATCATGGAGAAAAGGATGGCGGCATGTGTGAATATTCTTCCCCACACCTCCACCATGTGAGAACTTACGAACCTTGACCGAGCCGTACACAGTCAGCACACAGTTAGTAGGGACTTCTGAAGTTAAACTAGTTGAGACTAGATTTTATATTAATTTCCCCAAGGCCAGCACTGCAGTAGAAAAGCTAGTTAAGTATTAACTGGTCAGCTAGTGTTGGCCTTTGATGCACACACTCATCACTGTGATTCTTATGTACTGCTGGAGCGTTTACATTTTTTGTACACTGTTCCTGTAACAAACACACATATATACACCCAATAATTCTACTATGTGAAATTCATTATCGTCAAATTCCAGCTGTAACAGAGCCCAATAGTCAGGTGCAGCCAATCAAGATTATATGAGGGTCATTTGTTTGACATTTTTGAAAATGTTAACAAGTGTTAGCCAGTGTATCGTTGCTGTCCAAAAAAGAGGTAACTTTAAAGGAGAAGGAAGAAGCTTTTTTAACTTGTTAATGTAAAGCAGTGGTTCCCAAACCATAGTACAAATGATGTCGGGGGTACGTTAAAAAATTCTGAAGTTTGATGTTTACACTTCATTTACATCTTCATTTTAATACATTTGCCAGCCATGCAGTTACTCAGATACTTGCCTAATGTAGACAACACAAACAGCTCTGCACTCCACTCACCAGCTGCTGAATAAGAGATCCTCACTGAAACTGAGCAGATCTCTGAATACTGAGTTTAGTGCTGCACCATAGTTGGTGTGAAGGAAGTTAAGGCCTTTATGATCCTTGTCAGTTGTGCTTGCGAGTTAGTTTCACTTTCACAGATGCGGTTCAGTCTGCGGTTGTAGTGAGATAATAGTCTGTAGATGCTGTGATTAGCGCTTAGCTGTAAACATTTTGGTTGTGTAGAGCTGGTGGAGCTGTAAGGCTGTTGAAACTAAACGAGTTGGTTTTATACTGGACATTTGCTGGATATTCTCTTCGATTTCTCATTAAATAAATGTGCAGAAGTGATCAGACCTACATGTTCTCACTCCCGAGAACACAGAGAACACACTACAACCAAATAGATTTCAAAAGAGTCCTTTTGCTGAACGTAAAGGCTCCCAACAGCCAAACACCTTCGCATTACTGTTTAAGGGAGTGTCTATAAAGTGCGCAACGTGTACAACTATGAAGGTTTATATTTTGTTACTGTGCTGAATGTGATCTGTGGCACATTAGTGATCATTTTGTTATGTACTGTGCACTTTTGAATAGCATTATTAATTCAGTACTGTTCAGTATATCTGAACAGGTTTGATAATTTAAGGGGGGGGCTGATTTTAAGAGGCTAAATATCTTACATATGCATCATGGCAATATGTGAAAGTGTATGTATAAGGGGTGAGGGGTGTATGCAACAGGTGGCCAAATGTCTGAAGGGGTACGGGACTTTAAAAAGTTTGGGAACCACTGATGTAATGTAAAAAGATTTTTTCCAACTAATTTCTGTTTGTCTGTAGATCATAAAATTTAAACACAAATCAAAGGATATGAAAGGTGTTTATTTTACGCAAAAAGTAAAAAAGCAAAAATGGAGATGCGAAGTTTTTGCAAGACAGTGACGATATGTATGTGGACTATACAGTCATGTGAAAAAAATTACGACACCCCATTAAATGTTTAGTTCTTTATTAAGAAGTGTGGACATATCAATACTTGGATCTTCTTTCAAACAATATCTATAGATAAAATTGATGTAATTGCATTTAGCAATGACAATTTGACTTTCTTATCATTTATTTAACAAAAAAATAAATAAATTAAAAAACGATGCCAGTTCCTACAGAGGAGAAAGTTAGGACACCCTATGCCCTAATAGTTGGTATTTCCCCCTTTGGCTGGTATAATCTCACTTAGGCATTTAATATAACCGTCTACCAGTCACTGTGTGATGTATGAGGGGTTTCTTTCATGCACAACCCGTTTCAAACACCCCACAGCATCTCAATAGGATTAAGATCCATTCTTTGATTTGGCCATTCCAGAAATTTCTTTCTTTTGAGTCACTCCTTGGTGGGTTTACTGGAATGTTTTGGGTCATTGTAATGTTGCATGGTCCACCTGCACTTCAGCTCCAGTTTTGGGACAGGTGGTCTCACAGTTTCCTCAAGCACCCTCTGATACAATAAAGAATTCATGGTGGATTCTGTGAAAGAGAGCTTGCCAGGCCCTGCCGCAGCAAAGCAGCCCCAAACCATGACGCTTCCACCTCCATGCTTCACAGTTGGTATGAGGTTCCTGAGTTGGTTTGCGCCAGACATGTCTTGTGTTACTGTGCCCAAACACTTCAACTGAGGATTTATCTGTCCAAAACACATTGTTCCAGAAGTCCTGGTCTTTGTCTAGATGTTTTCTCCTTGCACACCTCTTGTGAAAATCAAAGTTGTGCAGTCTCTTTCTGATGGTAGATGCATGTACTTTAACATCAACTGTGGCAAGAGCTACCTGTAGGTCTTGTGATGACATTTTAGGATTGTTGGAGGCTTCTTCATGCATCTTGTGGTCTGCTCTTGGGCTGGACTTGCTAGGATGGCCTGATCTGGCCATGCTGGCAGTTTTTTTTAAATGTTCTCCACTTGTAAATTATTTTCTGGACAGTGGAATGGCTGATTTCTAATGGTTTTGGGATATTTTTAAATTCCTTCCTAGACTCATGTGCATCTACAGCCTTCTTTCTGAAGGCCTCAGAGAGCTCTTTGCTGTGGTGACACCACTCACTTCAACAATCAAGAGCAAACCAAACCAAATGTCTGAGGTTTAAATAAGAGGCACTTCCAAAATCCTCTCGAATGATGTTCTAATCATTCACAGCTGATGTGGTGCATTTTAAGTAGAAGGAAATGTGGAGGTGTCATAACTTTTTCCTCACAAGAAAATTGCATTTATATCAGTTACATTTTACTAATTATTTTTCAAAGACATTTATTCAGTTTTATTTGTTTCATTGTATTACCTCCATCTCTCAATATTGTTAAAATGAAGATCAAAAGTTTTTCATGGGGTTTCCTAATTGTTTCACATGACTGTATGTAGGCTACAGCCACTGTATGCATGCTTAAGCCAGTGTATGTAGGCTATAGCCAGTTTAAGTAGGCTATAGCCAGAATATGTGAGCTATGGCTGGTATATGTAGGCTATAGCCAGAATGTTCATGCTGTAAAGAGTATGGTACTGTAGAGAAACCTACCAAGTCAGAATTGTCACAGAAGTTTAATGTCTCTAAAATCTCCCTCACACAAAACTATTACATAACTTGGTTACGAATAAACTGCCTGTTAAAACATTGATTAATAACAGTTTTTCAAATATTTAAAGAAGTCTGACCAACTACATGTTTCATTACAAAGTGAGCACAATTAGGCTTGTTTAACTGGATTTAGTGCAGCACAGTTTGTAAAACATTGAATTAAAAATATTTGTAGTTGTATTATTGTATTATTATTATTATTATTATTATTATTACTACTACTACACTTTCATATGCGGCACAACAGGTACTAGTTTGTCTGTTCCAACTTATGAAATCTCAGAAAAACGAAATGTTGTGATGCATATTGTTCATCGTGAAAATGTCTTGAGGTATCGTGATACAATGTTTTTGCCATACTGTCCACCTCTATTCACTGGTCATTTTGGATAGCAAATAAAATGGCTATATTTGTGTTGTAGACAGTATGACCCCCGGTTCCTGTCACCACTACTGTAAAGAAAGTTGTTTTTCTACAACAAACTACTTCACATCAGACCACTTTGAATGACTTTGTTCACATCTAAATGATTGAATTGTGGAGAAATTTTGGAAAATTGGTGGAATTCAACAATTTAACAATGGCAGAAATAGCAGTCAGGTATGCAGTTAGCTTTAGATTTAGCAACCTAAATGTTAATTTGAGCTTGCGGCACCTTCAAGTTAAATCTTGCAGTGCGTCTGCTCACACGCGAACATCTGGCGTAGAGTGTTGCTGAATGGATTTCCTGCAGATGTGAAATACACAATATGTTGTTGGTGTTTATCAGGTACTACTGGAAAGGAGAGATTCGGGACGCTTCGGAAATACTGCTGGTACGTGGACTTTATTATAAAAAGATACTTTATTTTAGTCTTTGCTCATTAGAAATAAAAGTATTTGTAAGGTGGCAAAAATTGTCTTTTAATACATTTGAGAACTGTATAAAGAAGTATAACAAGTTAAGCTTGTGTTTGTGTCGTAGCTGGTGAGGACCAGAACATCTCTGATTCAGAGACTCACTGAATTTGTAACGTAAGTAAATTTGGCTTGTCGTCATTTAAAAATATGGATTTTTATTCCTCTACATGTACAACAGCTGTTAATTAAAGTTTTAAGTAACTATTAAGCAAAAATGCGTTGTGTAATTTAGCATTTCTGCTCCTCCAGAGCTATGCATCCATATGAAATTCCAGAAATCATCAGTTTTCCTATTGAAGATGGAAGTCTGTCCTACTTGAAGTGGATGGATGTTGCAGTTCCTGAGGTATGACCAGTCCATATCCACTGTGCAGTGAAATGCACTCCTATTGGATGAAGAACTGAATGTTCAGTGGCTTTGATTACAGGGATGGGGAGGCATGAGACCCCCCCCCCAGTCTGTTCACAGTCCTTCGAGAGTATTTTACATAAGATGGAAAAAAAAATAAGTGATGACCAAAACAACTTTGATTTGATTTCTGAAAACTTGTAGTTGAAATGTTTGAATTTTGAACAAATTCCAGTATAGAGAAGTTCTTGTATTTTGTCTCAGAGAAGATGTTCAGACTTTCAGACTCGTGACATACCGAGTGAGGACTTGGTCACAGGAGATATAAGTGCCTAGCGGTGACTATAATGGTACAAACAAGAAAACAAAGGAAATGTCAAAACATAAAGCATTCATGAATGGAATACTGACTCGGAACTAAAGAACACCTAACACAGCAGGTTCCGCTGGTATAAAACAAGGTTCCTGATGACCCTTAAAGTCTTATGAAGTCTTAAAATAGATTTTAAATATGTAAGTTAATAAAATGTCCTCTTTTTTACTCTTAGAGGTATTCGATTTGAACATGTTGAAGAGGGTAATTGTGTAATATAAATGAAACTAATTCTGAATAGCAAGCCAACCAAAACTATCCAGCTGAAAGCAGACCTGTGGTCAGAAGTGACTGCTAATGAAGGCAGAGATGACAGCAGAACTGATAAAGTCGAACACACTGAAAAGACTCAGCGTGTTTATCCATGTTAGATTTTAAACAAGTTTGTTTGAATAAAATGCACATTTATATGTGCCATGTTTGAGTTTATGGACTGTGGATTATTTTTCCTTTGGTGAGGTCTTAAAAAAGGTACTAAGACTCAATGAATTTGATTTAACCTCTAAACATGAAGTCACAGCGTTATTGAGATTATGTGAAAACACTGAGGAAACACAGGGACTGTGTTTAGATAACAAGCAACAGTTGAATGCAGTACACATAGCAACCTTGACGGCTTATCTTCTCCCATCTATTTGCTGAAAAATGGCTATTAAAAGAATGTACTGAGTGGTTGATCACTAACTTTGTCTGCATATAAGTCAGATGTCGTTATTTGTTCAGAGACGTGCGCTGTAGAAACACTGCTGCAGGTGTCAACTGTGTTGCACAATTCCCATGAGCCTCTTTCCTGCATTTGAGCTGGTTGGCTGCGTGCCGCATGGCTGTCGTCACAATATGTACAGCAAACCTCCAGACTCAGAAAGGTTAAGGCCCTGTGTAATATAAAATATGTAAGTTCTAGAGTTTCAAGAATTATGTTTAATTCAGAATGTTTGATTTGTTCAATATTTTACTTGTGGATACTGTGGAAGCCTGTGGTCCACTGCACAGGTCAGCGATCAACTGGTACTCAAAATGTTTGACCAGTTTTAAATTACAGATATACACCGATCAGGCATAACATTATGTTTCTATGCTCACTGTCTATTTTAGCAGCTCCACTTACTATATAGGTGCACTTTGTAGTTCTACAATTAAAGACTGTAGTCCATCTGTTTCTCTGCATACTCTGCACACTGTTCTTCAGTGGTCAGGACCCCCATGGACCCTCACAGAGCAAGTACTGTTTGGGTGGTGGATCATTCTCAGCACTGCAGTAACAGTAACACTGCAGTAGCAGTAACACTAACGTGGTGGTGTGTTAGTGTGTGTTGTGCTGGTACGAGTGGATCAGACACAGCAGTGCTGCTGGAGTTTTTAAACACTGTGTCCACTCACTGTCCACTCTACTAGACACTCCTACCTTGTAGACGTAAAGTCAGAGACGATAGCTCATCTGCTGCTGCACAGTTTGTGTTGGTCATCCTCCAGTCCTTCATCAGTGGTCACAGGACGCTGCCCACAGGACGCTGTTGGCTGGATATTTTTGGTTGGTGGACTATTCTCAGTCCAGCAGTGACACTGAGGTGTTTAGAAACTCCAGCAGCACTGCTGTGTCTGATCCACTCAGACCAGCGCAACACACACTAACACACCACCATCACATCAGTGTCACTGCAGTGCTGAGAATGATCCACCACCCAAATAGTACCTGCTCTGTGAGGGTCCATGGGGGTCCTGACCACTGAAGAACAGGGTAAAAGCGGGCTAACAAAGTATGCAGAGGAACAGATGGACTACAGTCTGTACAAAGTGCACCTATATAGTAAGTGGAGCTGATAAAATGGACAATGAGCGTAGAAACAAGGACATGTCATAGGTCATCATGTTATGCCTGATCGGTGTAAATATGAATTATGAACTGTTTGAACATGGATGATGTCATTCATCAGTGCTTCAGAAAATAGGTACCATTCCTTACGGCTGCAGTAACGATGTAACGTTTAAAATGATCTGGCTGTCATTTTTTTAAATCCTTTCTAGCTATTGATAAGGATATGAAGCAACTGCAAACCCAGCAATACCAAATATGATTGGTTTTAAAAATACCCAACTGAATATACAACATATTTCTGAAATGAAGGCAAGGCACTACAGGTGAGTAGGGTCATCTATTTTTTAAATAACAGATATCATAATGAATCTTTGCCAGTTGATTACTAAAATCTTTCACACCGTTTGCACACATTTGCCTGTTTAAAACCAAAAATCTAGCCTTAGGTGATGTTAGAATTAAAATGTATTTTATTATGAAGACAATCTACTGAAAACTTGTTGTTTTATTGTTTAATCATTTAATCAACATTATAATAAAAACGGTTTCATGTCTTTTTGCAGGACTAAATCAAGCATAAATCTAGCTATTAGAAATATTTTAGGATATCCTTTTGTAATATTTTTCAGAATATAAAAATATCTAAGCTAACACAACGATTGGTAGGTCTTGCCCCAACACTAATGAAAGCATTCAGCATATTACATTCCATTTCTGCTAACAGACCAACCTAAATCTTACACATTGCACTCTGTTACCAACTAGGACACTGTTGTCTGTGAAATACTGTGACTCAGTGTTGAGCTCCTATTGAGCAATGATGGGTGAAAGAGGAGGGGTGAGAACACCCTGCATACATATTTCCATGGAAATATATTACGTATATGACGTTTCATAGATCAAGGGGTCTTTAAAACAGGCAGAAATTGCATTTATATCGTGGATGTGGGTGATTCTTTAATTGTTTCTGTAAATGAATAAGGGTGCTTTCACGGTGCTAAACTCCTGGGTGCTAAACTCCTTCAAACACCAATGTGACTTGGTTTCGGTGTCTTGTTTGGAAGACATGTCTCGAATATGAGGTCAGTTCTGACCTTCCTCCACAGAATTCACTCCTCCCCCATTTCAGCCAGTGGCAGGCTACCTTTCAGATAGAGTCACATAAAATGTCAGCTCATTATGAAATTGAGGGGTGGTAGTAACAGAACATCAAGGGCACCAATCAAGATAAAGAATGAAGAATCTCTGGAAGAACGAAACGCACAGATTGGGCATTGAATTCAACAGATGATCGTATTTCTGCAGTCAGATATTCAGGAGTGCATCTGTAAGTGCTCTCAAACTTATTTTGGTCAAACAGTCATTGTGATTCTGGGCAATGCCTGGGTGATACCTAAAAGTAATCAGCACCATATTTTCTTATTATTAAAAAAAGAGATTATAGATTATATCAGACTCTCCACTGAATATGTCTGAATATATGTAGTGCTTGTCTCCTCTTTGTTAGTTCAGTTTCATTCTGCCTTGTTAACGTAATTTTAGATTTTCTGTACCAAGTTTCTGTTTTCATAGATACCACAGTGCTTCCCCATTTGTGCCTGCCTGCTTACATCCTGCCTGTAAGCTGTGACTTCAGAGAAAAAAACCTCTCACATATTGCCTACACACCTGAACATTTTGGGAAAAAATGGATTTCTTGGATAGTCTTGGATAGCACCTACTGTTTCCTTTAAAAAAAAGAGAATATATTGCTGCTGTCAGCCTCGGTTCTCCAATTTGGACGTTTTTCAGTTTTTGGCATAATTTGAAAATGCCTGTTGCCCTTTACATTGTATGTAAATTTCATGAGGAATGGATCAAAAGAAATGGCCAAAAATTACTTGTAAAAAACTCTCGTTCCATTGACTTGCATTAAAAGTGAAGTATATTTTTTCCTTCTCCTGTAGAGTTACCATTTTGGAGATATCTGACAGCAGCGATACGAGAAAATCGCGGAATCCACAACAATGTATTTTCATTTCTAAATGACTGTTTTTCTGATGTGTGGCTTTAACACAACATCAGACAGGTCTTTATTATGGGGGACCTGGACTTTAAGCCAAACAATAGAAATGCCTATGTGAGGAAGTAACATTGTGTCTGTGGGGATTTAGTGCAATCCAGTCATAATGCAGCCACAGATTCAGTGACCTGACTTCAGTGCACAAAGTTCAACATTATGGAAGCAAACCTAGTGCAGTCTTTTAACTTATCAGCTACTGTTTAACTGGTAGCCACCAGAAGACTTTGAGATCTTAAACTATAGTAGAAGAAAAGGCTAAAAACGACAAGCTTCTGTGATATCACTAATTACTACTTGTTTTCATTCACTACAACATGTTCACCTTACTAATATTTTGCACTCTCACCATAAAAGTAGATCTCTAAGTAGAGCACACAGAATAAACCAAATGCAGCTGTAAGCTTCACTGCATGCATTAATTGCATGCAATTGGAGATGAAGTTTGTGCATGTATTAACTATTATTTTCCTAGAACAAACCCCTGAATAGGGGCGGCACGGTGGCGCAGTGGGTAGCGCTGTCGCCTCACAGCGAGAATAGCCTGGGTTCGATTCCCGGCCGGGCGACCAGGGTCATTTCTGTGTGGAGTTTGCCTGTTCTCCCCATGTCTGCGTGGCTTTCCTCTGGGTACTCCGGTTTCCTCCCACAGTCCAAAAACATGCAGTCAGGCTGATTGGACACGCTGAATTGCCCCTAGGTGTGAGTGTGAGTGTGAGTGTGTGTGAATGTGTATGTCTGTCTGTCTGTCTGTCTGTCTGCCCTGCGATGGACTGGCGACCTGTCCAGGGTGTATCCTGCCTCCCGCCCAATGACAGCTGGGATAGGCTCCAGCACCAAACCGTGACCCAGAAGGATAAGCGGTTTAGATGATGTATGTATGTATAAACCCCTGAATAATATGACCACTAATTCAGAAGATACTGAATGCTTCAGACAACATGCAGTTAGAAATGGTACACTACAATAGGGTAGTATGCTGCTGAAATTTCATAAATATTTATTTCATATCAATGAACAATATGAACTACAGCAGTGGTCAACAGCACTTGATCAAATAAAAGCTATAGTAGTAATAATAATAATAATAGATTTGTTTGAGGCCACATCTGAAACACAAACATTTACAAGTATTACTTGGCATTAAAAACAATGGCAATACAATATTTTAAGACACTTGGTGTATTAATTTTTTTTGTCTTGTTTTGTTTGTTTCATTTCGATATCACAGAGTTTCAGCAACAGTCTAAACAGTTAATATTGAGTTAGATTACAAAACCACTGCGAAAACAGTTTAGGAGCGAGTAAATAGAGTGAAGGAGAGGCAAAGAGAACAAAGTGCTTAAAAAAAAAAAGTACAAATTACACGTCATCCGTCAGTCTGCAGCTCCACCACAACTCCTGTCGAAGAGCAATAATAAAATAAATAACATTTAAAATTTCATTTGCAAAAATATTCCCATGATTTTCCCTTTTCAGTCAGGCTGCTACTAGTGTAGGATAGTTGTGGGTAAGACATACAAAGAGAGTCAGAGAGGGTAAGTGTGGGATAGAGGACTGGGGAGGGCATGCATTTAGCTTTAGCTTAGCAGGAACAGTAGCACGGCATGACGCCACTTTTCCGAGACCACTACCTATGTTTTCCTTCCATTTTCACACTGTATCTGAGGATGAACAAGTTAAACCTGTGTCACAGTTACATACTTCACTGTCTCTAATCTGCGGTTTGTGTTCATTTCTGGTATTTTGCTCCCTTATGTGTAAAATGTCTATGATTTGTGAAGGTATTAAATCCTAATTCTAATATTTTAGTATATAAAATCCCTTTTAGTTTGTAATGGGATTCAAGGGAGGCATGCAGGTGTTCCAAAGCCCTTTTTTCAGAGGCAAAAGCATTTTTTAAGAGTGCACTTATATAGTGTTAGGCTAAGTGTCGAGAGGCAAAGCGCATGTGCTAATGGAGCGAAATTCAAAGCTCTTTCTGTCAGTTTTAGTGAGCTGTGTTAAAAACAGCTAGAAATTGTGGCTTGTAAGTGTAACTGCTTGCCTCATGGGAAATGTAGTCTATGGCCAATCAGATTTACTGCAGTTGCTGCGAGTTGTAGGAAAAAATGGCACTTGTGGGATACTTCTGCCCTGTTTGCCAAAGGATTGCAAGTCAAGGGTTGTAAGCTTGGGTAGAGCATAACATTAAACTCACCTGTATATTTCATCATTAAATCTATCTAGAAAGGATATTTATTTATTTGTATATATCTATATATAATGTTCACATGTGCAACTACAGCCTGAGATGCACATAAAGTTCTCTACATAAAGGATCTTTATTTATTTGAGTCTGTGTATATATTATATATATATATATATATATGTTTAGTTATTTTTAATAATCACAATATGAAATCAACAGATGCACAAAACACTTAAATCACAACATGAGTTAAATATATATTCTGTTGTGTTTTAGGTGCTTCAGTTTTACATTCAAGCTTGGTTCATAATGCCTTGCCTTGACCGTGACTTGGAGTCTTGGGTCAAATCCTTGGACCTGAAAGACCTGAAATTCTGACCTTTTATTTTCCATGGCTACATTAAGTGTGTCCTACAAAGCTCCATGTGTTCAAAACTTGATCTAGAACGTGTTTCTGCAGCCCACTCCATGTCAAAGACGACGCTCGTCCACGTTGTCCGATCCTTCCAGCGTTTTGCAATTTTGACTGTCCGTAAGTCTCACTGAACAAGACAAAGACAAACACATACGTATGTACGTCCACACACACACACACCCATACACACGTTTAGCCATCATCACACTGATTAATGTAAACTCACTCAGGTGCAAAGCTTTGGGGTCCGTTTCTACACCACACACTGCAGATGAGTAAGCAGACTAAGGACAGATATAAAAGTCCCAAAAAAAAATACAAAACCCAACAAATAATGGATCGGTAGTGGGGTTGAGAAAGGAGTACAAGAGGTGCACGGTGGGATTGTCATCACTTCAGGTCCAGGATGTCCTCCTCAAAGGAAGCAGAGAGCGTTAAAGTACTGGCCACGGGTGGGCTGTCCTCGCGAAGTTCCAGCTCTGAGCTGGAGGAGCAGTGCCGTTGAATGTCAATGTCACCGTCAACACACTCCAGTCCGACTCTGTTTGGAGGATTTGACAGATCCCATTATAATTCTGGCCGCACATCTCAAGCAACATCCAAAATCGCTCTCTGTTTGACATCTAGTGCTCTATGTAGGACATAGTGAGTTAATGGAACATCCAATTAAAGAAATACTCGAGCATTTTCCAACTTAATCTCTATCTGCTGCTTCTGTGTGATAGGACTGCCTACTGGCTTTTAATATTAGTGAGTTTTGAGTTGATTTGACCACAGTCTAACTGCTACTTACTCAGTGCTTGCAATTCCTGTTGGTTTCCTTTTGTCATCCTCCTTTGTTTTCTTGCTCATTTTCCTCTGTTTCACTGAGCTGCTGTCTGCCTTACTGCTGGGTTCTTCAGTTAAACCTGGAACAAGGACAAATAAGCACAGGAGGTCATATACACACAACATAAACTTACTTCATCAGACAATGATTACTGCACAAAAAAAAAGACAAAATCATTGACATAAAATTGTTTGATTCCTGATATATATATCTAGTTTATATACTACTGTACAAAGTAATTATCCATTGTCAGAAAACTGAATTTATTTGAAGAACATTTATTAGAGAAAGATAAGAGAATTTATTATATATATGTATAATATATACATATAATAAAATTATATATATTTTATTATATATCTAATTTACAATGTCACCAAAATGTACAGCAAGTAGGACTGAGTAGCTATTCTGAGTTAGGCCACTGGGAGGCAGTATTGTACTCTATAAGGCACCTCGTTAAAACATACATTGCATGCAGATGCATTAAAACAGATTACTTTTAACTTAAACAGATTCCTTTTTTAATACTAAGAACAGATGGTGGTATATGATTAAACAAATTCCGCAACATCCTGGGTGTCAGCTAACGACTTAAACCTATTACGAAAAACAGATTAAAACATGAGCTTGGAGAGATTTACCAATTGCTTACAATGGTGGTAGCCTCTTGCATACGCACACAGACCCCACTCACCTAGCAGTTCTTTCCGTGTGCGGCTAGCGATCTCTTTGATCTCCATGCGAGACAATGAGAGAGAGGGTGTGGTCGGGATCATGGGGACAGGAGCTACCATACCAGGGCCAGGAGCCGTAAGCACTTTATTGACCAACGGAGACTTGAGAGGCCTCTCTATGCTCCGTCCAACTAGATTACTCAGTGGGATCTTATAGATCTGTTTGGAGGGAGCTTCACCTGAAATAAGGAGAAATGAGAGAAATAGGTAAAAGTCTAACAAAGAAAATCAGGATTAAAGAGAAAAGCTGGGACATGGCAAGTACAACTCATAGTTGACACTACATGCTGTATGTACACAACAGGAATTGGCATATAATGTTGACATTAAGTGTTACCTCTGTGTTACAACTGAGGGGTAAAGAAGCATTCAGTGAGTCTAAAGTTAGTCTCGCAAGCCATACTTCTCCCTGTCTTCAGAGAGTCTGGTGGTACTTCAGGAGGCCAAAAATTGTTGGCAAGAAAGAGCCATCTGACGAACATGTGAAATCACCAACAGACCTTTGTTTTTGTGTGAAGTGTAGGGGTAGGCGATTTTCAAAATGGGCCTGCAGTAAAACCCCACGGGAAATGAAGTGGTATGCGCCAGAAAATGAGAGGATATCTCTCCTAAATGCTTTAAAGAGAACCATGAACTTCACACTTTTTTACACATTCACACAAATACAGCTTTTAAATTGCTATTCAATGGCTGTCTTGACATAAAAAACGTATTAACAGCTACTGCCATGTGGTGAATTTGTTTATCACAGAGTCATAAGTAAGCAACACAGTGCTGATAATACTAGTAATATCAGTAATGTCAGCGCTGGAGGATGCCTTCAGCAGACTAAGCTAATGACAATGCTTGTGAGAGAACTATGGATAAATCAATCAAAAGCAACAGCAAAGTGGAAAGCTCCAGTTCTCCTCGTTTCAGGTTCATGTGAACCTATCGTACAGCAATAATGAAATCATTAAAATAATAAAAATAATGTTATATTGAAATAATAAAATAGCATTGCTGAACTACTGAACATATTAAATGCATTCTGATGAAACTTATTTTATCCATTCATATAGATATAACAAAATGCACTGCTTTTAAAATGGAAAAATCTTTTTTTTAACCGTCAAATCTGAGCATATATGAAAAATTTGATTAGTTGGGATTGCTCATTTTAAGCGTTTGATAGACATAATACAAACATGCATTTGGACAGTCAAAGAGGTCTACAACAATGCCAGGTGTTACCATTATAAATATCGTTTTTTTTTACAAAAATACATTAATCATCACATAATACAATACACAAATAATACATAATCATTTTTTTTTAAAAAAAAAGCTAAATTACATTTTTTATTAGATTTTGCTTCAGGTGTGGAATTATTCTTTCTTAATAATGAGTATTTTAGCAGAGTAGCACCAAAGCTTTTCTCCACTAGAGGTCACTACTAGTCTATTATTTTTCTTGAAGTCAAATGAACTGTGAAATCAAACAGTGGTTTTATTCATTGAAACCATACACTAATATAAACACATCAACGCAGCACAACCTGTAAAAGCTGAACAATAAAAGGTGTACCACCTGTAATATGATTACTGTAAAAGCTCTGGCCAGAGTAAAGAGGGAAGTGCACAGTTAATCCGTCTGAGCTGAAAAGCCTTCATAACAACATTATTGTACAAGGAACCAACACTGACTCATGTATCTTACACACAGACAGGTATGTGTGTGTGAGAGTGTTGTTTGTGTGCACATAATGTGAAAAAATCAGTTCAACCTAAAGAGAAAGAAAATAGTCAAGAACATAGGTCATGGTTTTTAAGCATGCACAGGCAAGGAAGTCGCCTCCCTGAAGAGCAAAATCAGAAATCTAAAAATGTTAATTTAACATAGAAATATATCAAAGCCAAAAGCTTGGGTCAATCCTGAACTCTAGCTCATTGTTATCTGTGTTGTACGGAGCCCTGCTAGTGACATCCTGTGTAATTAAAAATAATGTGTAATGCATGGCCACAACTTAGTAAGGCGTGGGAAAGAGATGATTAAATCATGGCCACAACTTAGTAAAGCGTGGGAACGAGATCCTAATGTGTGGCCACCATGTAGTAAGGCGTGGGAAAGAGATCCTAATGCATGGCCACGACTTAGTAAGCTGTAATCTCATCCCCACGCCTTACAGGATGTCACCAGCGAGGCTCCATAGTGTTGCCTGTCTTTACACATTAAACAAATGCCAATTGTTTATGTTACCTTTTGATAAAAACAGCCAGGTCAAGAAATGTATTAATGAATTGACCCAAACTTTAGTGAAAGCATGCATTATCTGGAATATATGGAGATATTCCTTGTCCATTTCTGCATCACGGGACAGTCTAAAAGAGTGCACTGTATAATACTTGTGTCCACAGTGATCTACTAATAATGTATTTTGACATTTACACAATTTTACACATTTTGCTGTATAATATCTAAATACTGAATAGTATAGTATAGTATAGGAGATTCATAAAGGAGTTTCCGATCCTACCCCATGATGCAGAAATGGCAGTCACAGGTGACTGGCTGATTGGTTAAACTACCAGGATGTGGGTTTTTGTCACAGCCCCCCAATTTCTCTCTTTAGGCTGTCTGTTTGGACAGAAGCACTCTCAGCTGTATGTGAGCATGTGAAGAGGGGCTTTGACAAAAGTATCCATGGTGACAAAACGATCTGCAGGTCATGCTGTGGCAAATGTGTCCCTCTTCCATTGATCACCTTCATCTTTTCTCTTTCCTTGTTCATCTCTTTCTCTCTCTATCTCCCTTTTTGTCTCTCCCTCTTGCTCTGTTTCTGAAACTGAACGAAGGGACACATTGTGCTCACAGAACATTTTCTCAATGCTCTGTCAGCATGCATCTGTGAATGAAAACAAAACCGGGGTGAGTTTCCGTGGCAACGTGCATGTTAGTGAGGCAGCATGGGAAACGTAGGCAAAAGCAGAAGCCCCTGCAGTACCTTCAGAGTCTTTAGACATGTAGAGGGAAAGCTTGGTGCCGTAGGGGATCCGAATACAATCTGGACCAGGGACGGAAAAGAGCATTACACCAACCCAACCCACATACTAATTCAAATGAAAAGGCAGATAGAACAAAAGACAGACAAATATATGCTTCTCACCACAATCTAGAAATACATCATTTAAGAGACAAACAAATAATACACTCTCAAGGACATAATTTAGAAACACGTAGAAACTTTTATTTCTACAATTTGTTTGTGAAAATTTAAGACACACTCCCTCAAAAAAGAAAAGTGCAGACCCATGATGATTGAACTGACAGCAAATAAAGGAGCCTGCCATATAAACAGGAAAGAAACTACATCTCGTATACATCCCATCATGCTTTGTATCGAAGAAAAACCTACCATCTCCAAGCGGAGAGGGAAAAATGGGCATCTCGTAGCCAGTTGGTGTTTGAGGAGAGCTTTGGGAACTGGTGTCTCTGGAGCTACAGTTAGAGGCAGAGTTTACTGGTGCTGATGATATGAAGTAGATGTCAGACTAGAGAAAGAGAGAGACACAGACAGAGGGAGTGAGAAGAGATTTCATCTATGAAAGAGCATTTGAGAAGGCTGACATTTGCTGTAAATAGTTATCTTTCCACTGCATACCTTGCTTTTTACATAAGCTGATCCAAAACAAATGTTATCACATAACAGTTACATGTTGTGAATTTCTACCCTGATAAACCAGTGGCTCTGGTTGTGAGAATGTGTGCATCTTGTGGTGATGAAACACCGCACTAACCCTAGAGGCAATCAGCTGCAGCTCCGGAACCACCGCAGTGTACACCAAGTTTCCATTCACAACCAGTCGAATTTCTATGGAATCAGTGGTGAAGGCCAGAATGTAGGGGAATGCACACACTGTAACACAAGAAGTGAAATCACACTAAGAATAATGTCATGCACACAAATGGTGTGATCTCTACTCATGTCCCACATCAAGTTGATCAAAATGAAAATGAATTAAAAAATACAGCTAGGAAATTAAATGATAGGTACTGCCTTTATGTAGACCTAAGCTGTATTGAACACAGCTTGTGGAGCCCATGTCCTACATTTTTCTTCTATTTTATTTTTCCCCATTTAAGTCCACTTATAGCACTGTTTATGTACTACATAAGATTCTTTTGTTTTCGAAAAGTAAGAATTTTCCATGATGCAGGGCCTTTAATATGTGTCTGGAACATTACATCTGATATGTGACCAACACAAGATCTGCTGCAGTTCACGAGTTGCAGCCAGTAAAACTGTTCAACATGATGACTGTCTTTTCAACTCCTTCCTAAAACACAACCGGCTATTCTCGCCGACCACGAAAAGGAGGCGCAGCTGAAATCGAACAAGCCCAATCACTTTGGTAAATAGTGTTGTAATGTTAACTTGTCCTTGAGGGGAAACAACATGTACAAATAAGTACTCATCATTGCATGGGAAATGTTTTTATGTAGTGTATTTGATATTGCTTGGCATGAAGCTTGACACAGTATTTACAAGAACACTAAATGTGTCTACTGCACTCAAAAACAGTTGTCTAGAACATCACCTTCCAAAATCTTGAATGACATCTGGCAAGTCACAAACTGGAGGTCTACTTCAATTAACCAGAACTCAAGTCACACATTTATATAAATCAAATATTAAAAAAAAATATAAATAAAACAACTCATTTTATGAATAACAATAATATTCCTGTCTATTCCAAAACTGTATTTCATGGAAAACATATTTGTTAAATAAAATTATGTTTTAGGATGAGAATGCAAGGTTCAGAAATCTACTGACCAGCCTGGGTGTTTGTTTAGAGTTTAACAAATTGAGTGTAGTTGAAACATGTTTAAGCAGTTAGAAAGAAACCACAAGATGACATGGTTAAAGGTTTGCCCAACCTCTGTAACACCCACTAAAACCATATACATGCTAAAACCAGTAACACAGCGCAAATACAGAATATTAGCAGGGTTCACATTGGTATGCTTTACATGTCCCTAACTGTCTGTTGAGATTTTATGCCATGGACCCAAGCCATAGATAGTGTTTCTATAGTGTAACAGGCGGCTGGGCTGGGACACTGTTGCCATGGTTACTCACCAATGCTGTTGGGCATTTGATTCCAGCTGAAGTGAAAGTCGGACGTGTTTGGTTGAATCATGGGCGTGGCCCCATTAAACGGACACACCTTCTTGTAGGCGCAGAGATCTATTGGGAAAGTAATTAGAATGTCAAAGCATGTAAATGATTAACCGCTAAACCGACAGATAATCAATTGTTCAACCAATGATAAAAGAAAGTGCATTTCATTTTATTTCGTTTTTCATTTCATTCATAAGGAGGTTTATCATTCAAGCTGAAAAATGCATGTTTTTAGTAGATACCTATGAAAAAGCACAGCTAAAATTAGTGGTATCGATGATAGCATAACTTCAATGGTGTACTATATCAAAAGCAAACATTTGGAAGTAAAACATAGATGACCATTTGTCCACAGACATTATTTCGTCCATGTTTTCCATGAGAAAGGGTGATCACACATGGGTCTATGAAATTATAGGGAAGAACGGGGTGGACAGTGGCGGCTTTTTAGAGCTGCTGGGTTACACTGGCATTGTCATGGCATTTATTATCATTTTAATTGGAGCAAGACATCAATAGTCAATACAGACATTCAGAATATTGCCCATCACTATATATTCCAGTCATTTTTGTCATTTTTGTTTCTGATCATGTGATCATGTGCATATTATAGTTGTCAGCGCTTCGGTTTAAACGTTCATATATACATTATGTTTGAAGTGATTACAAGCCATTTACTTAATATACATGCTTATGCATGGCCCCACCTATCAGTACTGCAATCCATGGTCCAAACAAGCAACAATTTTTTATATTTTAGTGCATTAATACAAAGTTTAGCTGACATGTGCACTCATAAGTGTGTGTATATTAAGTATTTTACAGTGGCTGTGAACATGGCTCAGTCAGTCAGATTTACAATGGATATTTTGATGGGTCACATTCTTGATTCTAGGCTTGCTAGTTAAGCATTAATCACCAACTAATGACAGTCGGTTATCAGGCTAAAGAAGTTGCTGAAATTTGCATCCCTATATCAAAGCAATGAATACAAGACATAATAGATACTGACTGTTGTAGCAGAGCAGTAGCCCAGCCTCCCCGTCTTCATACACATCTATGGCTGCTACAAAATTTACCTGCAAACACACAAGCAACATAAATGAACCATCAACTTTGTGTCTCCACATCCATCGATACGCTTCACTTTAGTGTGTATATCTGTGTCTCTAACCCGGCTGGAGTCAACATGATGCAATCTGTAGGCGTCTCCTGTGCTCTCATTGATTAGGTCAAACTGGTGTTTATAGGCCACACAGATCATGTGATCATTTTCACCCGTCGGACCATCGACCAGCGCCATGACGACCGGAGAATCGCACAGGCAGATCTCCTGTGTGCCACACATGCAGACAGGGAAAATGGTGCACTTAATGGACAGTCGCAATTTCCTGTGTCATTTCTGTTTAGCATTATATTCCTCTCTGCACAAGTATGTGAAAGCAAATAATAATACAAAATGGACGTGTAAATGAATTGATGGCAAATTCTATAATTAAGCTACAAGCAAATTATACCATGTCTTCTCATTCTCAGATCTAGACAGATTTTACTGGAGTGGTGTTTAAAGGAGGTCCCTGCGGACTCTGATGCTGTCTATCAATGATTTTTTGTCATTGCCAATTTACCACAGTATTGTGCACACTTTTAAGCCTTGGAGTTCTTCAAATGCAAATGAATTGCTTTGTAAAACTAAGAAAAAAAAATATGTGAGGTATTATCTGCAAAATGCATCAGCCTCCTTCCTCCTACCCGGATGTACTGGAACTCCTCTACTGGTGAATCACTGGTTCCGGCACTTGTTCCTACAGAACTGATGCAGTCAAATCGTGGCTGTTTCCTTGTGATGAGGAGGAGCTTGTTCCTTATTGCTGCAACAATGCGGAGCTCCACTCCATGGTGTGTGTTTATAGAGTAGAGATGGCAACCTGAAGGAACAGAAGTACAGCAATTTAACACAAAATCCAGAGGCCAAATTGTTCTATTTTGAAACATACCTGTAGAATAACTGCTCCACTGAGCTATATTTAATGATGTAATTGCAAAATCATCTTCATGTGAATGTCCTCTACATATCAACGTTAATTCCTTTTAAAAATAAACTGACAGCTGATGCTGATTCAGTCTAACACTGCCCAGAGGGATACATCAATTGAAATAACCCTTAGTGTGTAATTGTGCCCAAAAGTGCCCAAAATAAAAACAATAATAAAATTAAATATAAACAAGTACTATGATATTTTTGCACCAAGAATTTGAAATCCCACCATTCTTAATACCAATACTATATTATTATGTGACATAACAATTTAAATGGATCATTGGTAAAACTTCACATACCTCTGGTTTTTTCCAGCTTGTTCTCTCTGCTGTCACATTTGGTGCGGACGAGTTGCCGCTCCTCTATTCCTCGTTTGAGAGTGCTCAGTCTGTACACGTAGAGACGGGCATCCTTCCCTGAAATACAACGTGTTACTTTATATCTTTCTTCAGTTTCTCTTTGTTTTATGTTCATGATTCTTTAGTGATTGCTAAGAGACGCTGACTACATGTTTCGAGTCGAACACAGCAAGGCAATAAATCGAGGCACAGCAGTTCCCCATTTAAAAAAGCTGAATTCATTTATTTTCCAGTGTGCTGAAGGCCTGTTGTTTATCAGTTATGATTTAGCGTGCCATGACTCATATTCAGGTTAATTACTGCTCTCTGTATGTATGCAGGTTTCTTAAGTATTTGCTTATGCAACTCTTCAGCTCCCCTCTGTCTCACAGGTGTTGTTTAAACCAAAGGCTACTTATTGAAAGCTGTATTCTTTCAATAAATAGTGTTTAGACCATAACCAAAAAGAAAAAAAATTCCCAACAATGCCTATTGCTGAGTATTAATCTAGCTCCATGTGATCACATAGATTACCAGAAGGTTGCAATAAGGAGGCTACTTTTTCCAAGGTCTTGTTTTCCTTTCAGTGGTCAGAAGCTAAGGTGTGTGATATGCTATTACAGTGTGATTATTCTTGGTATTATATTCTTATATTCTGCTTGGCCATTGTGCCATTTGGACACACCACTAAAATGGATTTTTTATTCTCTCATGTTACATGATAATAAACTGACAACAAATTAGGGAACTGTCTCATCAGAATTACATCCAGCTTTTCTAATGCAATTTGTTGTTTTTTGAAATTCCTGTCTCAACAAACACTGGTTTCCTGGTGACGAGGTCCATAGAGAATTCGTTATTTTTATCCTGCAAAAGTTCCTTGCCGGTTTCTACTCAAGGTGGAAGTCCAGTTTGCACAGGCTCTGGCTAATGACTGCACCAGGGCACATTAGTAGACAGAGCGTTATATGGATGTCTGGTACTTCTCCGTATGTCTCTATAATGAGCTTTGAGTCTAGACTATGCAGTAAAACTGAAATGAGGTGTAGGTGCGGGTGTATGTGTGAGAGAGTAAGCCTACTGTGCTGTTTCCAAGGGTGCTAAGATGTTCATTAGGACAGAAGGCATGATTTGTCATATTATTTGCTTCTGTACTTTTTCCTCCTGTCTTTTATTTCAATCTGTCCTACAGATGCAGACTTATAAGTGTATAACAAACACACATTCATTTTCTCTTCTCTTTTCATGCACGCGCATACATACACACACGTACACAGAGGCAGACATTAAAAATATTTATTTACGTCCAACAAATCAAAATACATTATAGAAGGGCCCAAATTCTGAAATGTGGTCAAATGCATTACTTGTCCTGTCATGCATAAATGAATGACTATGTTAGCAAACAGTAGTGTTTATAGATGAACACTGCATTTTCCTCCAGATGTGGCAATTCCAGTTATTTACTATATTGTTTTATTTTCTTTTTTGTGAATTCAAAGATTCAAAAGACCCCGAGTGACCAGAGAGACCATTCTATGTGCCTGAGCTTTTAAATACAAATACAAGATTTTGTAGCCAAAATTACTGACTGCCTAGGCGTGTGGCTGGTATTTCAACTACAGTAAGCTTCGCCCCATTAAAGAATCAAATAAACATCCCACATACCTTTATCGGCCCTTGTGATGAGGAGATCCTGAGGTTCGAGCACATGCATCTGTTTGACGGTAAGAGTCTTGTCGAACACTTGCACGGGGGGCAAGGTTGGAGAGTCTGTGTAAAACATCAGCTGGGGGTTACTTGGAATGAAATCGTGAGCATTAATTTTTTTGTTTTTTTTTGAAAAATTAAATTTTATGAGGTAACGCTAATTAAAAAACATGCAAATGCATTACAAGAATTACTGTTTAGCACTTGCTCAATTGTACTTTATGTTGTAAATTGTATTTTACCTGCATTGGACAGCAGTGGATCTGATGCTAAAGAAATAAACAAGAAGTGAGTTTAACAACACAGGTTTCATAGAAATACCACTACATTTTTAGATTATCAGTGAGTTATATTTCAGTGTGGGACTTTCTTAGGAAATTTTGCTTGTTCTAAATCACTTGCAGACTCTCTTTTCATTCACATGTTTAAGCTGTGGCAACTAGCAGAGGAAGAAAACTCTAACTACATGGTGCTGCCCAGCTGTTGCTCTCTCCAAATTACATGGTTCTGAATTCACTGCTCTCTATGCTGTATTTTCAAAAAAAAAAAAAAACTGGATTACAATTTTCTACAAAACTTTGAACCACATTCCTGCCGAGTTAATTGCAATACAACTTAGGAGTTCCAACTACAAAAGGATAGTGTTTTCTCCATTTTCTTGTTTTATCTCAGTTCATTCCTTTTTCTCTCTATTGTTATGTCTTTTGTTCATTTTTTCTGTGTGTGTCGACAATTCTCATAACTGTTTAATATCACACTCTGCTGAGTTTCAAAATATTTTCAGAAGACAACAGTGTACTCTTGCTACTGATCAAACTGTTAAAGAGATTTTTAAAACTCTTCCACTTTCCCCTGTTCCAAAGCCATTTTTCTACTTCCATTGTTCTCCTTTTCCAGAGCAGTTGTGTTTTTGCTTTGAGTAAATATATCCTGATATATTTTTGCTGTTAAAATCTGCTGCCAGATAAGTTACTGTGCACGCATGTCCATGCTGGCAAGAACTGAACATATCAGCATGTAAAATATGACTTTTCTGTGTGCTACAGTAAATGAAAGTCAGCTCAACTTAAAATTACCTTATTACACGGCTTTTGTAAATGAACTCAATATGAGGACGCCAAAGTCAAACTTCTAAAGGTCTCCTATCTCCAAAAAAGCAAAAAAAAACATTCTTAACTTTCATTGTTAATGTTACAAGAATTTCCACTGATCTGTTTGTCATAAAATTGCAACACAATGGTTTTATTGCAAAACATACATATGTATATTGTATATATAAACATACACACACAAACACACACACACACACACACACACACACACACATACACACACACACATATATATATAATGAAATGTGACGTCATTGAGGCACTTGTGCAATCTGTTTTTTTTGATGTGTGATATTATCCCGATGACTGAGTCAGCACGAAATCTAGTAGCAGTAATCCTAAACACTGTGGAGATAATTAACACCCTGGTGACGCATGTACGGACCAAAATAATACTAGAAAGAAACATGCCTTCCACCTCACAGGAGCAGCACATCTATAGCATATATATATATATATATATATATATATATATATATATATTATTAAATTGCAAAAGTGGGATAGTAACATTTTTCTAATAGTTTATATATTCTTAACCCTGAGGCAGATTTCGTTGAACTAACTAAAATGAACATTTAAACCTAACATTTTTCAAATTTTTGGTTCAGTTCAACAAAAAAATGCTTTTATAAAGCAACTTAAGGGGCTCCCAAGTGAAGCAACTGATCAAGTATTCACCCCAACCTCAGGAGACTGTAATTCCAGCAGTGCCACAGCCCTCCACAACTTAGAACCAAAGAGGAGAAAATGCATGGGGGTACTGTGTCCCAACTAGTAAGGACACAAAAAAAGAAATAAATAAATATTCCATATTGTTTACCTAACTGAGATGGAGACCTAAAATGACCGTAAAAATGAATAGTCACTTGAAGTTTATATACTTCAAAATGTTAAGTACAGTACTGAAGTAAATGTACTCCATCGTCCCAGAGCAGCAAATATCTGTGACACAGTGGTGCATGCTGATTCATGCAGAGGCACTGAGAATCCTGGGGGATTACAAAGGTTTCTCTCTATGCTGCATCAGTGCTGCCTATTCCAACTATAAAAATGTCAGCATGAAGTCAGTAAATTTAACAGCTTCACATCAATATCCCAAAGTTTTACCTGTTTTTCTCTTTTCACAATTCTCTGAATTTTTAATGTACCCAATTCCTGCCTAATCTAAGGTTACTTTTTTCCTTGCTTCATATACTGTGAACCTTTCCCTGTTGAATCAGGTTCACACTTTGCTTACACAAGGTATTTATGCATTAAGGTAATGTTCATATTACACATTGCTCCAAAGCTTAGCAGGTTTACCTAGTTATTACTAGGACTCATCTGTGTAGCTGCCAGCAAGGCTACACAGCACACGTCAGTGAGGTGCTGCAGCTGAGATGACACCATAGTGAAAGCATGTTTACTATGTACAGTACAGTACTGTGACTCTACGCTGTATATAGTACATTGTAACAGTACAGTACTGTTACACTATGGTCTATACAGTATATGGGTACAGTGCAACACTGTTTATCTAAACTGTATACAGTATATGGTCACAGTATAATACTGTAAGAGATGCAGAAGTGTGAATTAGGCTTCAAATTAGATTAAAGAACTTTGGAAGGGCATGCATTTCATGTTGGTTTCGACATGTAGACAGTTAATTCATGGTGACTCATGATAAGATATTCTCACCCTCCAACAGCATGACCCCTGCTGAGTCCGTGGCGACCAGTAACGACTGACCCCAGGAATCTCCACATACAATGTCATATGCAAAGCTACTGCAGAAAGACTGAGACTCCCATGGCTGCAAAAAACATAAAACACGAGCAACAAATATCTTAAATAGGTACATTTCACAGTATTTCTCTTTCTTTTTCTCTATCCGTCCTTCTCTCACCTCTTTCCTGCAAAGTCCAGTATTGACTAGACTGGTAGGAGCATCCCCTCTAACTATGGTTTTCAACTTCAATGCCTAGAAAGAAACACACATAAGGGTTTTTTTTCTTTAATTATGCCAAATGTATATAATTTGCCACAAAGCTTGTTAGCTAACACAGATGTCAAAGACAACATACGTAAGCATGCCATAATTCAATATTAATTATTTCTCCCTGGTAGCTCACTGTAACACATGGAGAAATTCTGTCAAAGGTGTGATTTCTAAACTTTCAATCAATATCACGTTTGTGTTCATAAGTAGTAGAGGAGATATTTTGATTTGAATTTAATCACAAGTTATTCCTGTGCATGTGGTCTGTTCTTATTCATCCTTTACATTTTTGTTGTTGTTGACTACAAAACAAGCAGAAAAAAACCTGGAAGTACAGACTCGAACCTGTCAACAAAAGTAATAATTCTCAACATCTAAAGGTTAAAATTTGTGAGTGCCATGAAATTTTGTGTCTGTGTGTCTATGTATGTGTATGGGTGCAGTACCTGTCCTATCCGGACAAACTCAGCCTGCCGTGCTTCCTCCTTCTTGCGAGCCGACTTGGGTGACTCAGGTAGCACGTCGCTGAAAGAGCGGCGATTGAGCATGTTCTGCGGAGAGAAGGGAACCTACAGGAGCAGTAACACACACATGGGTCTGAGAGGCTGACCCAGGAAAGAAGTGGAAATCCAGAACAGAGAAAAGACAAGCAGGCTGGGGTCTGCAGCAGACCAGGTATTGGTAGAAATTAAAAGGAGTTTCCTAGAAAAAAAAAATCAGTTACATAACAATTTTTTCATTATGACTTAAGAAATTTGAAGGTGTTTCTGAAAACTGTTGCAGCATTCTCTTTCATGCTGCAGTTACCATCAAAGCTAATCTAATCTAATCGAATAATCTAAAAATCAGTCTACTAAGTGCATTTTATTTTGTTATGTTTTCATTTATTTGTTTCTTTTTATAATGCTGTAGATATTTCTGTGCTTGGGTCATGAAGGTAGTGAGTCTCTGTAAAAGTCTAACCCTCATTCTGTTTTACTAAATGTGCTGTTCACTGAAGAGCAAATCAGATAGAACACGTAAACATATGGGTAAAAATCCTTCATGTGGGTGCAATCTGAAATTTGTCAAGATGATTCTTAGAAAGTGGACTGTGAACTTTGCAAATGGTGTTTTATTTATAGTGCTGCTGTTAGCATGACTGTAACAGGTGATGTCATGCTAAATTGTAGCCAGAAATGCTCAAAAAGTGTAATATAAACATTTAACAACATATATAGAGAATAAGATTTTATATTCTGTCATGTATTAAATTGATACTGAACAGCAAACCCAAGACTAGATTCTATCATTCCTTTTCACTCGACCCATGCTGTGTTCTTGTGTTTTCTGTGCTTATTAGGGCTCATAGTGTCAAGAAGGAATTTATGCATTTTCTGTAATCATACACAAGAAATGTGTCTAACATATCATCTCTGTCCAAAGAAAAACATATATCTCTATTTTTTTTATTTTCACTTTTCTTCATCATTTGAACACAGCAGCTGTCCTTTACATTGTGTAAAATATCATGAGGAAAACACAGAAGTGCTTCAAAACTGCCTGAAATGAAATCATTTTTACATTAACTTACATTTAAAGAAGTAAGAACGTCTTTGCCCTCTCCTGTAAAGTTACTATTTTGGAGATACTAGTTTTTCTTTGAGCAACAACAATATAAAAATCTTGTACAACACTGTTATACAGGTAAATAATTTACCCATTGATCTCTATGTTTTGTGAATATTATTAAAATTTACCTTATTTATTCTGAAAAAAAATGCTTATTTTCACAACCACTTTTTAAAGCCACATTTTCTTGGTGACTTTGCCATGTGCTCAGGACAGTCCCTCAACATTCACAGAAATATCTAATTATACTGGCTTGAAACTCACCAGACAGTGAAGATGTGTACATTGTATAAGATTCCCAGTATTTTTCTGACTACCAATTTTTTGGATTCCAATTTATCTTACAGTAAAGTGGGCTTAGAGGATATGTGGGCTTATGAGAGGTTTCCTCTATATAATAAATAAGCACACAGAAATATTCATTTTCTATACAGAACCCTTCACAAACATGGGCAGCCCTGGTAAACATGAGCAAAACAAGCTGTAAAAAATCAGTCTTTATTGCTTTATTGCAGTCTTTATTGCTTTTTAAGATCTTTTTGATCTTTCATTCAAAATAAAAAAAAAACTAACCTTTATTTGAAGCACAATGATTTAAAAAAAATAGATCTTATCAGGAAATAAATATTTTTCTGAAATTTGTGTGTGCCACAGTTGTTGTCACCCCTTAATTTAATACTTTGAGCAGCCTCCCTCTGCAAAGATAACAGCTCTGAGTCTTCACCTATAATGCTGAAAGAGACTGGAGAACACATAGCAAGAGATCTGAGACCATTCCTGCATATAGAACCTCTCCAGATCCTTCAGATTCTAAGGTCTACATTGTAGACTCTTCTTTTCAGCTCATCTCACAGGTCTTCTATGGGGTTTGGGTCAGGGGACTGGGGTGGCCATGGCAAAATCTTAATTCTGGGGTCAGTGAATCATTTTTGTGTTGATTCTGAAATGTGCTCTGGATCACTGTCCTGCTGGAAAATCCAAACTGTGGCCCAGTTTAAGCTCCCTGGCTGAGGCGGTAAGGTTTTGACTTTATTTCTGCTGGTACTTAATGGAGTCTGTTATACTATGTATCTGAATAAATTGTCCAGGGACTTTAAAAGAAAAACAGCCCCACAGTATCACAGATTCACCACCATATTTCACAGTGGAGATGAGGTACTTTTCTGCATGGCTATCTTTGTGTCCACGCCAACCTCACCTCTGGTGTTTGTTGCCAAAAACCTCTATTTTGGTCTCATCTGACCATAAAACATGCTCCACTGACCTAACTAATTTCTGTAATTCCCCATATGTGATCCTTGGAGACTTTTTGTCCACTCGAACCATCCTCCTCACTTACGTGGGGTCAATACAGACATATATCCTCTTACCAGAAGATTCTTAACATCTCTTGTTGTTTTAAGCTCCTTAATCATTGCCCTCATAGTGTAAATGGGCATTTTTAACTATTTAGCTATTTTCTTGTAGCCATTTCCTGATTTGTGCAGCTCAACAACCTTTTGTCGCACATCACTGTTGTTTTCTCTGGTCTTTCTCGTAGTGTTGGGAATCTGGCCTGTTTCATCTCATATATATTCTCTAGTGAAACAGGAAGTCAGGGTTGACAGTGTTCCTAATTGCTCAGGTGAACTTTATTCATAAGAATTTCTTAGAGTGCCAACAATTGTAGGACACATAGATTTATTTATTAAATATTTATTTCATGACAAAATTTAGTTTTTGTTTAATTATTCTATGCTAAATAAATGATAGATTTTGCTAAGATTTTGAATGAAAGATCAAAAGGATAAATTATTAAGAATGTTTTTTACAGCTCATTTTGCTCATGATTAACAGGGGTGCCAATATTTGTTTAAGGCACTGTAGCTGTATGCGTACAATACAGAAATCTAAACAGAAAAAAAAGAGCTTTGTGGTTCACCAATAAGGTGTATAGTTTGCAACTCTGTAGTACAGCATATCAGTGTTTAGCTAAATGGGCATGTACCATATGGACATGTGCAACTGTAAACTGCATTTCTTTCATTTTCTACATTTGCCCTGTAAAATTGCTTAAATACAGTACTGGCTTTCAATGTTAGACAAATTATACGAATATAGTTAAAACTAGGGATGCTGTTCATTGTTGCTACAGCATAAAGAACAAAAGAAAAAAGATACACTGACAGGAAAGCATTAACAAGAGAGTGAGATAAGAGTGAGATAAAAGGTGAGGTATAGCAGGAAAAAAGGCAAGAGGATGAGGAACTGTAAAACAACATGAGTCTGCTGTGCTGTAGAACTAGACTCTAAGGAAAAACTGACAGAAGCAGTGGATAATTAGTGTGCGTCTGTGTGAGTGTGTGTGTGTACCTTGTGCAGGTCTGGCATAAGGTCTTGGTACAGAGATCTAATCAGCATGTCAAGAGTTCGCTGACGTTTCTGAGCAAACGTGGGGGTTTCAAGAGTGGCTTTCTCTCCATTTATTACTGAGATAGAGAAGAGAGAGAGAGCAAGGGAGAAATTCATTATGTGATCACAATTTCTAGTATATAACAGGGATTCGTTTTTAAAGCCGTCTCATATTTATCTTATCTGTCTTGTAAAAATTACGAACTGTATACTAACGTTTGACTAGTAAAAAGTCCCTGAACTCCTGGTGGTCTGTGAACACTGGTGGGGAAGGGAGGGGTGGACCAAACAATGGCACGCTCTCCTCTGAGAAAATTTTCAACCTGCAAATAATATTGACACAATTAACACCACTCTCCCTGACAATATTACAGTTATAGTTAATTGTACTGGACATGCTTAAAATGAGAAAATTCATATTACACAGAAACATACCTATAGCTGTCATTCTGACTGTTATATCTAACTAAGGCAAAAATATCTGTGAAGTGAGTTAAGGATATATGAATGCCATGAATAATAAATGCTTGTAGACACATACAGAAACATTCCTACAATATTTATGGTTGCTGAATTTTCTTCATTTTGAATGAAAGGATACGTGTGAAATGAGATCGTATCATGGAGGGTTTGAAGGACGGCGAGGCATCATCTCCCTCTTGGAATACAATGGTGACAATGTCGTTTCCAATATGTCTTTTCCTCTCCACCTGAGGAAGTCCAGAAACAAGTTACATCAATGACTGGCAATACAAGCACTACTGCAACAACAACACAACATTAAATAAAAACAGTATCCAGTACATAAAATATACAGTTTGTGGACTTGACCACAGATTCTGAACTCCACAGTTTTATAAGACAGTTCAAGAGACATATCTTATTAAACTGGTATTTAAACTTGTAAATAAAACCTTAAGTAATCTTTAAAAACATTCTTTTTGTTACCAATTACTAACAAAATCTTTTGATATTTTTCAGTTAACACGTAGCAACTCTAAATGAATATTTGTGGCAAAAAGTCAATCAGAATCTTAACAGGTAACAGTATGTGTTAATCTTGCAATGGATTAATATTTTAGATGAATATTTGAAATTTTAAATAGTTTTATCTTTCAACAGATTGCACATGAACTAACTAATGTGCTATGTATTATATTTTTGCACTGTTCATTCACTATGTTGTTCAGTGACTATTTCTATATATGTCTGGATGGGTACTAAACAAATTTCACTTGTAGAAAAAAGAGTGGTTTATGCATTGCTGGCAGTAGATGAAAGTGCACTGACATATGAAAATCCAATAGTACATGTAACAAAATTAACTGCTGGAAACTAGTATGAGTATTTTTACTTTTTTATGCCTGTCACCACATGAATGTAAAATAATATAAATGTATCTAGTTCATGCAAGACTGCCCAAGTACACACTGGTATAATCAAGTCTTGCTGCTTGCATGACACATAGCTAGCTCAGCTAAACTTTTTAATTTATATAGGAACTAATGAGTTTCCACGCAGAACATCACCCTTTGTTACTATGGTATGGTCCTGGGTGTTTGCATTATAAGAAAACTAAGGCTGACAGGAGCGATGTTTCATCAGAGATATCCTCAGATTTTAATATAACTTTAACATTAGTCTCAGCAAAACTGTAATATTTTCTGGGGAAAAAATGTTAGAAATATGTACTAAAAATGATGAAAATGATTGAAAATCATGCCATCTCCAGGTGACAGTAGATTTGCTCATTTATTCTACTGCATTCTATTCATTACTAAAACAGAACACAGAATACTGTGCCTGTATGGGTAGGGAGGTTAGGTGTGTTTGAGTGTTCTCTGTTCATGCTTGGTCAATGTGAATGTACTGTGTGTGTGTGTGTGTGTGTGTGTGTGTGTGTGTGTGTGTGTGTGTGTGTGTAGTATATGCTCTTTTCACAGTCGATATGGGTAAATGTGGATTGACAGTGAGAGTTCGAGTGGTTCTCTGCTGAGGGGAGCTAAGGCCTTGAGCAAGTGCAGACGCTTTGAAAATCCAGCTATTGTGAATGCTTCCACAAGTAGCTCAAGAGCTCCGCTCATACTCAACTTGACATCTGATCTGAGTGAGGGAGAGAGAACGACAGACAGATAAAAACCTGCAGCTGCCAATAAAAAAAATACTACATCAAAATATTTTATTGTTAAAAAGGATTTTTCAAACTTTCTGGATAATTATATTGTTATAAATTAAGTCATTCAGAGTGGTTTGATGTGAAATAAACCTATTGAGTCATAAGAGATCTGAAGTAATTAAGGCCTCTGAAAGCTATGCTGCATAAAGTTGTTACATTAAATGGTTACAAATATGCTACCTGATGCCTAAGACATTGTATTATTATAGTTACTAGATAATATTTAGTATAAAATGTATTTTAAAAGCCATTTATGGTGGAGTACATATAGGGTGTGTTAAGGCAAAACAGTGCCCAAAGAAATGTTTTTTGGATTTACCACTACTTTACCATAATCAGCATTACACATAATGCTCAGAAGTGAAGGTTCATTGCTTATTTTGGATAGCAAATAAAATGGCTGTATTTATGTTGTAGACATCATGACTCCTGGTTTCTGACCCCTGGTTCCTATTGGTAGGTTTCCCTACAATGAACCATTTCACATCAAACCATTCTATGTCTTTGTTTACATAACAGCAATTGAGTTTTGCAAACAGCATGTGTTTTTTGTGTTCATCTCCACAGCCTAGCTACTCTGATCAACTGAATGTTTCCTGTATCAACAAACAGTTGTTGTCATACTGCAGCATCAGCAGCAGTATCTAATGTACCTTGCATTCTCATCTTATGTCAGGTATGTTTTGGGTTTTGTGGAGAATCTTAAGCCTGCTAAGTGTAAGTGTGTCACAAGCAAAACTGTATGAAGTGCTTTGCATTGAAAAACAAACAAGACATCCTAAGTGTAAAAGCTCTAGAATTTGGCTTTGGATGGCTTGGGATAACCATGAAGTATTACATTTCACAATTAAATTGTAGTTTTATAACACATCAACACAGTCATAACACTTAAGAAGAAAATGTCTGAATTTTTCTCAGACAGTATACCACAATCTGGCAAAACCAACAGCATAGGAAATTTGAGACAGGGGTGCCTAATTCCGGTCCTGGAGGGCTGGTGTCCAGCAAAGTTTGGAATTTCCCTACACTAACACACCCAATAAACCTGGCAATCAACAGATAGGAGTAATCAGGTATGTTTGAGTAGGTAAATCAACAAACCGTGCAGGCCACCAGCCCTCCAGGATTGGAGTTGTCCGCCCCTAATCTAAGAGTAATATAGAAAGACATGTCATGTAATTATATCCTCCAGCCACTAGATGGAGATCTTCTTGCAAAGGCCAAAAAAAACACAAACAAATCTAAGCTACCACTGAGATTATCCACAAAGAAACTAAAGAAGAAATTTTCTAATCCTGCAAGTCACCATGAAAAAAGCTTTGGCTGCTTCGTTTGCTATTTGTAACGAGAGATCAACACTTGGGCTGTTCTGAGGATTTTCCCTGCAGAGAATTTAAATGACTTTCATGTTCCTGTGGACTGTACAGACGGACATTTCATCCCTTTTCAACGAAATGTCATGCATGAGTGAGTATATTACATTTTTTAATATCTGTATTCTACCATCTTTTTTCTAACTAGACTGTAGCAGTATTCAAAACCTTCTCTGGAGACTCTGTTTTAAACTTCTGTTTGCTGTGTTGCTGTTGTTTGCTCCAGCCAGTTTATGTGTCATTTGACAGTGATTTTTATTTTGTTTCTTTGTCACTTTTTTTGTGGTTTATTTCATATTTACCTCCTGTTTCTTCACTAGCAATAATACTATCAATCCTTGTTTTTTTGTGTTCAAAAGCTTAACAATCAAAATATTATATTTTCTTTTATAGTCTATTTGCCAGTATGTGTCTATAGCAGAATCAAGGGCAATCATATATTTTCTCTGCACTGTATCATACAAGAATGTCATTTGAACATACAAAACCTAACTAAATGACAAACTCTATGTCTTGGTCATTTTTTGAGATTTCAATTTTAGTTTTACTAGTCATGGTATAATATCCAGGCATGTGGCCAATGATGTACATGATCATCAACAATATATGAGCAATTTTATGGGACTGAACTTTTACTTATCACACACAGAAAATGACAGTTGTGCATTAGTTGTGAATACACAGTAGGCCTAACACTTTCTGTTTTATTTTTCGGTTTTAATGGCAATTAATTATTGTTTATTTACATTTAATTTCAGTTTTTTAAGCTTACAGTTGTAGTTGTTGTTTTATCTTCAACAGTGTACATTTTAGAGAGTACACTAAACTAACCCATATCTAATCACTTTAAATGCTTGTAAAACTGCTTACACAACTTCTATGTCATAAAAAAACAAGTGTTCCGATATAATTTCCTCATAGGAAGATATGGTACACCGGTTTCTGGCTGAAGAAGCTGAAATAGGCAAAAACATAGAAATCCTTTGATGATAACACAGTGACCTTTTTAGCAGCTGCACACTCTTTTAAATACTTCCTATTTTCCTTTTAAAAACCCTTGAACTTCCTCTGCGACATGACCATGCAGAATGATATTTGAAGTATTACTCACTTTAACAGTCAGCATGCTGAAGAAATAAATTAGTTTTAAACACATTCACCCGAAATAGACTTCCTTCAAAAAATCCCACATATTGCCTCAGTAGTAACAGTACCAATTCTATGCAGGCATTTTCATTCTAATCTGGTCTGCCGAAAACAACTACGAGCTCACTGTCAAAATCAGCCACTTTGATTAATGACCTTGTCCAATCTCATAAGCTAATGGATTCCTGGAACAGAATAAGAAAATCATTCTCATTCTTTTCACAGGTCCAGACAATTACTTAATATGTCACAAGATACTGCACTTTAGTTGAACGCTGTGTTTTAATTTGTTAGTGGATTAGTTGAGAAGTCAAATACAGGCAAAACAGAAATAGATCATAACCTTATAACTGACTTTGGCATCATAAAAGACAAGTCAGATCTTTGAGATTTTCTAAATTATCACCTTTACTTCTAAAGCTGCAGATTTTCTCCTGATATGTCTCAATTGTAGTTGGGCAGTATGACAATATTTATCATTATCGTGATAAATAACATCAAAATATGTCACTGTTTTTCTGAGCAACTGCATGACTGCTTAGAATCAAAGAATTATGAGTCATATTTAATTGGATTTAGTCCAGCAAGAAATGGTAAATACAAATAATTGGATTCACAGTTTTTGATAGTATTTTTAAAATGTGGCACTACTTCGTCTGTTCTAACTTATCAGATGTCAGTGTATCGTAAAATACTTCCTAAAGTATTGTGATATTACATTTTGCCATATTGCCCACCTGTACTCAATTGCTAGTCAGCTGCCTCACACTCTCAAACAAATTGGTGAAGGAAACAACATCCCTCCTTAGACATGAAGTAATACAATGTACTATTCAAGGAGGCACAGCACAATATCAATCAAGATGACAAGAATTTCTCTCATGTCAAGAAACTAGAGCTTATCAATTCAGGCATGGAGAGGTAGGGAGGAAAGTGGAGAAACAGGGACAGAGAGGTGAAAGGCAAAGCTGATACTTGGAGGAAAAAATGAGATGAATTACTGCTTTCTGTATGGGAATAGTGTTACAATGTTTGACACTGAATACAAAACATCCCTAAAGGGGAAAAATAATGAGAAAGGGTAGACAGAGATGGGGGAGAGGGAGAATGAGCATGGAGGAGAGAGAGAAGGAGTGAAAGACTGACTGCTGTGATATCCATGTATCCATGGCTCTGGAATGATATATATAGCCTCTTCGACCTTACCGCTCACTGTGCTACAGACGTGGCTCCTCTCCTGCCTCTCCAAATTCTCTTTTTCTTTCTGTCTGTGTTTAACTGTCTGTCAACCTTAAAATATCTTGCATTTTGTTTACCTGTGGGGCATTCCATATGCTTTGACCAATCTGTTCTATCTGCTCTGATGCAAACAAGAAAAGCAAGTACTCAAGTTTCATTTCAAGGGAAGTCCAACACAGTTCAATTTCTGTTTAACAGTAGGACTAGCCCATTTTAGAGGCTTTGAATACTCTTCTTAAAATTGGCCTTAAAAACTATAATATTTGAAGTATAGGCAGGCTATATGACTATTTTAATGTTATTGTGGTTTTTTTTACGTGATAAATAATGTACTTCTCTGAGCATACTGTGGAAACAGTGCTGACCAACTACATGCTTCATTACAAATTGAGCATTAATCGCTGGTTTTGAATGTGGCACTACAAGCACCTTGTGACTGTATTAGTATATTGTGATTGTGTACCGTGAAACAGTATGAAACAGTGAAAGAAAAATAGAGCTACATAACAGTGCTGTGTGAAATGAATGCATGGCAGTACTCACATAAGGGTCACTACATATGTGAGATCATTCTTCCTATATCGCAGTGGGTCACCAACCCTGCTCCTGGAGATACACTTTCCCGCAGAGTTTAGTTCCAACCTGCATCTCCCGCCTACCTAACACCAATGGTACAGCCAAAGGTCAAGAGTTCTGAAGAAGGTAATGAGCTTGAGCAGGTGTGGCAGATTAGGGTTGGAACCAGACTCAGCATGAACGTAGATCACCAGGACCAGGACCAGGACTGGTGACCACTGCTCTATGATATAACAACCTCTGTTTGCAAACTTTGCATTTCTCTGCCCTTTTCGCAGTTTATTGCGCTGTGAGGTTAGGTGACGTGGATGTCTGGCATGAAGTTACAATGTGTTCAACTAAATCAGATTATTAACAATTCTTCTTCTATCTAAAGGGCATTTGTTGATGAAAATATTTTGGGTTGCAATTTTTGTGGCTTAAGAAACAAGACGAAGCTTCCACATACTAAACAGAGAAACGAACAAATGTGACGAACAAATACTAATTTATTATTCAAAATATTCAGGTCAGCCTAAGTTAACACCAGAATGCCGTCATTCACATCACAACAATTTCTAACCTCCAGCCTCTGACTAAAGCATAATAAAAGTCAAAAAATGTCCAGTGCCTTGAACCAAAAACAGCATATTTGACCTTGGTAATCTAAAGCCACCTCTACCGCTCTATGTTTAATTTGATTCAAAACATTTCTATGCTCTCTTGTTCAGCTGATTTGACAAAGACTGTGTGTTTGTGTGTGCACATGCTGAGACCCACCTGTTGCTTATTCTCTTTTGAGTAAGGTAACATGGTAGATACATGGAACATGAGCTCATGACCCTGATAAACTGTGTAGATGGAGTGAATTCCTGTAGTGTCATCTAGAGAGAGCGCGCGCAAAGAAGAGGAAAATTAAATGTTATACATTTTAATAAAAAGCTTAATAGTATTAGTGACCTGCTTTTTGGAAATATCTCTGGAGGTTCATGCACATAAGTGCATGTGCATGACTGTATGTCTTACTCTTAGTGTCCAGGCCTCCTCTGTACCCAGCCCAGCCTTGCAGACAGATTGTGTCACCAAGCAGATTCAAGAACTTATCAAAGTTTTCACTTCCAGTCTCTGCAGAAATTTCACAATATCAAAATCAGAGGAAACTTACAAACACCATAAGCCACTTAATAGAGATGTGATAGTTTTTATATAGAATGATAAAATTTAGGCAGTAGCACTGTGCTCACCGTTACTGAACATTTCATCATCTGTCAACTGACCATCTTTGGCATAGAGCACTCCAAATTTAAAGTTTACACTGCCCTGTAAATATATGCACAGAGATTTTTTTAGAAAATTATTACAAAATTATTCAAATAATAAATAAATACATTTCAATCCCAACAATACCTCTTGCTCTTCTAGCACCAATAAGTCCTGAAAGGAATTAGAAACAGTAAAGATCAGACCATTAATCAGCATCTCTCAAGTCATCAGCTCTCCCTAATGCAAAAAACACTCATTATCTCTAACAATGCTCTCTGGTGCAGGCAGGACAAAAAGGCCAGGATGTTGAACGGAACTCCCAGGTCAAGATCAGAAAAAGGAACAGATGACAGGCGTGATTCACACCTTTTGGATCTCTGGGTTAAGGATCTCTCTAGGGCCCTTCTCAAAGCGGTCCATGTTCATGGCACTGTAGAGTGTTAAAAAGATACAAAAGGACACAGATGAGACAGAGAGGAACTTAACAATTGTTATCAAAGTTTGAATGAATTCCTTGTTAACTCTTTAAAGACCAAACATGTCACCTCAGACATGTTTACAACACCTTGTGTTTAAACTACAATTAAATAAATAAATGATGTTTTCTATCAACAAACATCAAATTCCAAGTTAATGTATCCCATGTTGAAGCCACTCAGCTTACTCACATGCTAAATGCAGCATTGTTTGTCATACAACCCTGCAAAAAAATCCCATCCCTGATCTACACTACAGCCACAGAGTCATCTGTAATGCCCACTCATTAAATCACAGTGTACAGATTTCGGGAAAAACTGTCACAGACACATACATACAGGCAACAAAGACTTCCACTTACTTGCCCTGATTTGTACACTTTTGTCATCTTTAATGCTGTATATTTGTGAAAAGTGAAGTTTGTACTGAATTAGACCATACAGTTTACTTGATAACAGTGTAATATATCACCAAGTTACAGTCAAATGCATAGATATGTATGTCCAACCAGTCACTTCTAGGCTTAGGCTCAGGCTCTAAATGGTTAAGAACATCTGTGTGTGTAGAATAAGTGCAATAAGGTATTAAGATTGCATCATGACTAAAAATTTCAAATGTTTTCATGTGAAGATGAAATGTTGGTATGCATTTTTCTCTGGTTTTCACACGCAGACTATGTAAACCACATACTGGACATAGATCCACAGACGTGTATTGCTTACCTTAATATAGATTTGACCGATAGTGTTTTTGTGGGGCTGTAGGGAAGGCTAATCTTAAGAGTACCCTGCAGAAAAAAACAACAAACAGGGATGTGTGTCACACAGTGATTAGGCTGAAGTCGCACAGCGGGTTATACAGAAATACATGACAACAATGAAGAAGAAGCAGGAGAGAGACTTGTAAAGCATTTGCTGTACTTCATAAATGACACCTATTCCGCTATATAAATAGATAAACTACTGGTAGGGGTGTGAATCTTTCAGGGAATCGATTTGATTCATTGGTTTTCGTTTAGATTCTAAAGTGATTTTTGTAAATTAAGAACAATTCAATCTGATTTAAAACACTAAACAGCAATTCAATTCAGAGATTTGATTAAAAAATTCTAGCTTCTTAAATATTAAATATTTATCATGCTATTTAAGCAAAAACAGAGGGTGGCTGGTGGGTGAGTTAATGTGTGAGCACACTGAGTAAAAGCAAAACAGTCTCAAATTGACATGTTTAAGAAGCAGCAGTTAGCTAAGGTAACTTCACTACTTTTTACTAGCTCACTACTGCACAAGGCATCCACATATAGATCGTTTGGCTTGTTAAAGTCTGCTAAACTTGAATTAAAACCAAAATAGATAGCTTTGTTGGATATTGACATTGAGGATTAGCAGTGCTTCGGAAGTACTACATAAATCTTTTTGCATCATCTGTGTCAATGGTTAGCTTGTGAACGCACAACTCAACAAGCTGCATGGCACTTAATATGTATGAAAATATCACATTTGTTTAAATAACACACATTTCTTTAAAAAGTTTGTTTTGTTCAGTTCAGATTTGTAGCATTTACAATTAACCAAACCATTCAATGTAATTTTTTTCCTTTGCGATCGATGCAAGTCACGTCATGAGGAATTCTAAACAATGCATCAACAAAATGAATCTTTAGACCATTACCCGTGTGTGTGTGTGTGGGGTGGGTGGGTGTTTGTTTTAACACAAAACATCAACCTCTAATGATGTAATCAAATAGACTACTGGCACTAATAGTGGCTGAACAGAATGACCAGAAACAGGCAAGAATGAGTCACCGACCTTAACAGACACACTTACCGTCTTGCGCCAGAGGATGGCTCTGTACTGGGGAACTCTCTGGTTGTTCTGGTCCGATAGAACCACAGAAAGGTAAAACGGGTTCTTCTCTGCATCCACACCAACATAGTTCTGATGCACTAGAGTCAAAATTTAGAACGTTACAAAAATGAAATATATTGTGTAGACAAGCAGACAGACTGATGGAGAGATACAAACTTGCAGCTGAACATGTATATATCATCGCTGTTGGGGAAAAAAAAAACCCTCCAAAATCTCCAAAATGGTAATGTTATAAAAGAATGTAAAAACATTAACTTGTAGTGGAAGTTAACATAACAAGATGTTTCTATTTTTTTTTTATTAAATATATTTAATTTGATGTAAAGGACAACTGGTGTTTCCAAATTTAGAGATGTTTCTTGCGCGACAGCAGCAATATTTAGCTAAGAATGCATTCACATTTGCGACAGAAATAAAAACTAATCAGTCTCTTAGGGTAATCATAGATATTAATATGCACAGTGAAGTAAGTGGGGGGAAAGCACAAAAGTTTGCCAAAGCTATTTTGGACAAAACCAGAGAGGTGGTTAGGAGACAGAAGATAAATGAATAGAGACTGAAACTCAATTACAGCACAAGGATCTGTTCTGTTTCACTGTCCCCACCCTTCCCTGTGTTGCATATTCTCTCTCTCTCTCTCTCTCTCTCTCTCTCTCTTTCTCTCCTCCTTTCTGTCTCTAAAAGGTATTTGTACTGATTTAAATCAATTAAGACGACATAATGCAGGCATCTGCTTCCTGAGCATGCAGTGGCAACGAGTGTGTGCTTTGCAGAGCTGTGAGAGAGAGAGAGCATATGAATGATAGTGCTGCAGCAGAGGGTTCTCACACACTGCATTGACAATGTTATTACAAAAGAAGCCAGACAGACTTTAACTGCATTATCTCCCTTGCTCTTGTGTGAGTGTATGCGTATGCATGTTCATTTATTTTTGCACACAGTCCTATTATTTTAAGATTTTTAACATAAGGGTCATTTTTGATACTTCAAAAATGCCTTTAAAAGCAAAAGAGCTCTTAAGGCTTGTCTTCACCAAAAGGCAAAACATTAAATTGATTGATAACTAAATTGCACAAAATGCGTTCATTCCAACAACAGCAACTGAACAACTGAACATTTTGTTAAAACTTTTTTTCAAAGTTTCAACATTTCTGCATAATTCAATCGTAAAGAGGTAAACAAAGTCATTCAGAGTGGTTGGATGTGAAATGATGCATTAAATAGAAAATTACTGACTTGCAGTGAATTCAAATATTGTCTTTTTTCTTTTTGTTTTTATACTGTTCAAAAAAGAAGTGGAATAGCTGTGTTTTTTTTTTTCTTTATACGTAATGTTGGTATGTAATGATAGAGGTAAGTTTCTTTTGGTTCTATTTTACCCTGCCCTGCATGTAAATCTCCAGCATGAATGAATTTTTAAAAAAAAATACATTTTAGTCAAATTTTACAGCAAAACTACCATAAAGCAATGTCTAAGGAATCAAGCAGTGTATTCCATTTCACAGAATAACTTTACAGAATAACTGGCTCATGTGATTGCACGATACTGGAATGATTTCGGAGCAAGAGAGAGCGCTGATGCTCCAACTTTCAGAAAAAACACTCCTCGCCCCGCTCCACTCCCACTCCGCATCGCTCACATGCTCTGCCTGGTACTGGAAAACTACATTTATTACTTATTACCTACCCAGAGATCTCAACTGACGAATATTTTAAGGAGTGTCGAGTATTTACAGTACCTTTGTAAGACTAACGCTACCACCACCCCCACCCCGATGTCACCATCGATTGCAGTGTTTCCCTGTAGGCATCATCATATACCAGTTTTGTAGACATTGCCTAACTCTAATTTAGAGGCATTAAATACCTCTGACATCTAGTACGTATCACCACCAATGAACAATTCTGACTCAGTAGGTTTCACTAGAATGGAACATTTTGCATCAAAATGACTTTGTTTATAATTTAATGATTGAATTATGCAGAAACGCTGAACGATTTGTGGAATTCCCCTTTAAATGGGCTGCTATGTTGGAACTGACCAGAAAATGACAAAGGAATGTTGCCATATTGCTAAATGAATTGAAGCATATGACGTGTGTGTGTGTATGAGAGAGCGAGAGAGAGCATGTGTGAGCAAGTACAGAGTTGGCAGCAAAAATCCCACCTTTTCCCAGGAAGTACTTGAAGAACCATCTGGTGTGGTACTCTGGGTTCTCCAGATGGACATCTGTTCTCCTCCAGGTTCCTGGGGTGTAGTCAGTAGTCTACAAGAACCGTCCCGCAGAGAAGCAACACACATCACTCTACGACACCAAAAACTCTTTCATGTATTGCGTTACTCTATTAAGACTGCGTTTCGTTACAACTGATACATTTTAACATTAAAAGTCATGTATTGTTTTAATAAGTACTATGTATAACTTCACAATCCATGTTAAAAACTTAATAATAATTTGTAAGTAGAACTCAGTTATGGTAAACTACAGAAAATGCCCCTATTTTATATCGTCCTTGTACTGTTCTGTGGAACACCTGAGCCTTTAGTTTCAATACCAAAAGGTTAGCAATAGTGAACAACACCCATGATGATGGAATCAGATGCCAGCACTTCAGTTTGTATGCCTAACTTAAAGATCTTCCCCACCAGCATATGGTGCTTACGGTGTATGTGCTTATAGGTATTCAGTACAATGGCCAGATGTCTGCTTTTTTCAGTCTCATTTTGGGTGTCCTAGTTTATTCTCAAACAAGATTTCTTTTTCCTCTTTGAAGACAAAAATGGTGAACAATTATCATTTATTATAAGTAGTAATGTAATACAAGCCTTAAAGCTTTTCAAGCTGAGCTTTAACAATGCACCAGTAGCCTTAAAAGTTTTTAAAGACCCAAAGCAGTACATTATTTCTGGCCATAGATGTAAAGGCACAACTACATAGATGTTAATGGCTTAGAGTTGTGGGTGTTTTGTTTCGTTGTCTATACTGTTGAGAACTTTTATTTAACTGCCGTTGACTATTGGGACCACTGGAGTTCATTACAGGGCAAGGAGAAGATGTGGGCCTTGCTTTGGAGCACTGGCTCATGGAATAAGAATGGGGGGTTCTTAAGCCCATTCAAGTAGCAATGGACAAACACAAATATGAAATAAGGTAAAGGACAGGTGGAGTTTTCCAGGAATTCGTTAAACATCTTTTCCAGAAACATTAGCTCCAGTTCAGTGTGTGTTTTCTGAGACAAATAATAAAGTCCCCAGAAAAATCCCAGCTGAGTGTGCCTACAGCAAAGGCAGTGTCGCTCTTACAGGTCAGTTTTGGAATGGAGTGCAGTGACTAATTAATGAAGGGACTAGCAAATGCTGAGAAAAACTGCCTCAAGTAAAAAGCACACGCTGCCTGAGGATAAATCTGGAAGACCAACCAAACACTTTCAAGAGATTGTCAGTTTAAAAAAAAATAAATAAAAAAAATATTTGTGTCAATATATTTTTAAAGGCACTTCTTAATTAAAGTAGTTTCACATACTATGCTGAACAAAACACAGTTCAACAGGCCCCATCATTCTCTCTTTGTACTGAAAATGCAGCTGGTCAGTATTCAAGTATTAATTGACATCCACGATACACTCAGAAAGGCATATTGTGACAATTTATTGCGATAAGGATAAATGTCATCATATCGCCTATCCCACACAAACATACCTGAACACATGCAAATCTTGCCACCTGATCACAGGTCTGTCATTGTCATTCACCCTATAATCACTTTCAACGAGTTCTTCTATGAATGCCAATAGCTGTTAAAGTGCTATTAAGCCACAAAGCGCAGTGCACACCAAGCCAGGGTCACCAATCGCTGAGCCGAAAACTCTCTCTCAACCATTTACACCCAGGTCCACCCTTGCTCCTTTTGAGAGGACAAAACAGCCTGGGTTGTCATAGCTACAGTCAGGTGCTTGAGATGAAAAAGGAGAAAGAGGGGAGAGAAAAAAGGGGTGTTGCATTTGCAGCTAAACACTCCACTGATTGAATAACATTGAGTCACTTGGCTTTGATTGTTGCTTGTGCTCATCCATGTGCATGTCATCTATGCCCACAAATGCACTGGTACACACCGAGCCTGACTGACTTTGGTATAATAATTGAACAAGAAGAGTATCAGACTTTTGGTCTTCACCTTCTTTGCATTTCTCTGTCCGTGATTTATTTACTGAGTGGGAATTTCCTGTTCTTTTGCATTTTTTCCTCTTGTTGTACAGGGTGAAAAAAAAAAAACTGATTTTGTGTGTGTGTATGTGTGTGTGTGTGTGCGCGCGTGTGTGTGTGTGCGTGTGCGCGCACTCACCTCATCTAATGAGCCATTCTCCACCCTGAACCTCCCGGCTCTCTGTATGGCTCCATCTGCATCACTGGAGATCAGCTGCAAGGAGGGAGCAAATACATCATTGCATGGTTAAATCAACCACATGAAGATCAAGCTGTCCAAGAGAAATCACACAGTCTGGTAGTCAGGGCCTGACAGATATGAACTTTTTGTGACCGATATAGATACTGACTTTAAGGTGCTAAAAAATCAGATGTGTTTAAAAAAAATTGCTAAAATGTTAAACAGTGAGTTACTGACTGCTATGACTTTTTTCCCCCGACTGTGAATTGTCATATATAAATATTGCAGCACTTGGGGTCAGAACTTAGCGGTGTGGTGCGTTTCTGCTAACAAGCTCTTATTTTTCATATTCATCGTGTTCTCTTCATAGAAAGGTTTTCTGACATCTATATATTCCCCACTGACTACTGTCTAATACTCAACATTGGTGTAATAAGACTTGTCACATTCCAATGCCTTTAAAAATCCTCTTCTATCTACTGCTTTATTAGAGCTGACTCCTTGTGAAGTCATTTGCTGTTCTAGCAAAAGCCCCTCCCTGAAAGCCACACTGTACATTAGGGATGCAATGATACAAAGTATGTTATTGAACTGATCGGTACGTCCCCTGTGGTGCAATTTGCACGCATGAATCGCGATATTACAATATGCCCTACATTTTCCTATAAAAACGTGCTTTTTCTGTTGCAGACTACATGCTCATTGTACATTCAGATCCACAGAACATCTCTGGAGCCTATCAGAGCTCTGTATGCAAATACGAGCAGGAGAAGAGAGGAGGGAACCAAAAACAAATAATCCCTCGGCTCCAATGTGACAATGGCGGGTGCTAGCAAGACAGGGAGAATTTAAGGCCACTGCACACCAGATGCACCACAATGTGTCGTGCAGCATTAAAAAATTCGAAACATTTTTTCAATGAAGTTCTGCACACTAGCACCAGCCCTCCAAGGCAACGGTGCTTGTGACTCCAGCAGCCAGTCTTTTAGGTAAACAGCTAATGCTAAGTTAACTTGGCTAACATTATTATCCTAGCCTTTTTCAGCTTGAAAACAGTGAGTTTGTGAAAAGGTGTTAAACGGATGCCAAGCATGATATGTGATGCCTGAAAGCTTCATTTCATTTAATTTATGAGTAGAGAGTATACATGAGCTTGAACCTAGCTATTATCAGCTCTCCTTCCGGGCATTCTATAACAGCTCTCTGCTACGTGATACTGCACTACACAACATGGCGCATCAGGTGTGCGGTGGTCTTCACAACGTCCCCTCCCACACACATTTCAAAGTCATGCAAAGTCATTCCCAAACTCTAAGAAACATCACAGAGAAAAAGTGAAAACTAACTGACACAGCTCTCTTTAATTATTTAAAATTGAGAAGGTAAAGCACAGGTTTTCAAAGCTAATAACCACTTTTACTTTTGTTTTTTCCCTTGATTTCATACAGTAGAGTCATGCTGCATTTTTCTGAATAGAAAGTTCTTGTCTATAGGCAAAAAAAGGAGTTCATTGTTTAAAGGGGGATGTTTTTATTTTTTTCCTTAAAGATAACAAAATCGTACGATTACCGTGGCCCAAAAACCGTGATACAGAACCGTGGGCCCACTGTACTGTTGCAAACTTACTAACATAAAACCACTAACATTAGCAATCATAGTTAAGGGGCTCAGACACAAAACTACCAAACAACACTAAACTGGTAAATGCTCCAGGGCTATAGGAAAGACCTTAAACATCCCTCTCAGTACATCTGGTTCAATAATATGTATGTGAACAGTTAACAGAACCACAACTAATCATCCCCAGACAAGTGCGACACACAAGATTTCACAACGCCCTTGACTTGACAAGTGTGCATCTAAAATTTGCACACAAAAATTCAGACAAATCAGAACTCTTTTGGAACGATGTACTGTGGTCAGACTAAACAAACGTAAAACTCTGGCAATAATTCTGCTTCTCATGTTTGGACAAAGAAGGGTTGTGCATATTATCTCAAGAAATACTATACCCCCAGTGAAGTATGAAGGTGGGAGCACCATTATATAAGGATGCTTCTCTGCAAATGGCACTGGGGTAATACACACCAAAAGAAATATGAATGGAGTGATGTCCTGGGAGATACCAGAGGAGAATGTAATCTCGTAGGCAAAGAAATTGAATCTGGGGAGAAGACAGATGCTTTAAAGAGTAACTACACCCTAAGACTTTTTTTTTCATTAACAACTGAAATGCACTGCTCTGTAATAATAAAATATACCAGCCTTGCTTGAAATCTTTCCAAACTGTAAAAAAATATCATTTTTATTGTGGTCAGTTCCGCCTCTGCTGCGCCCCCCCTGGTTAAACTCTGCTATAGGCGCGAATGACGTGTCTTTGTACCAAAGTGTGATGACACAGTATGCAAATCAATCAACCAATGTTACTGCGCCCTGATGACACCCTACTCGTGCCGCACTCATAAACATGAAAGCCTAGGAGCCTTGAGCGAGGAGGTAACCACACTCACACACTGAGCTAAAAACCCCCAGCACCACCTAACAAAGTTGCAATATGCCAGATGTCTGTAACAACAGTAAATAACCCAATTAATCTGAGCTTAGTTTGTAATGATGTTATGATTAGCACATTTATTGCTAATGTTCAACTTATGAGTAGGTAACCGGAAGGACTGATTAAGTGAGGATTCTTTCAAGTCTCCATAAAGCTGCCGGTGTTACATCTGATTCACGATTCCCTTCACAAATCAAACCCTCCGGCGCGCGACTCACTGAACAGACATCAAGGGCAAGCAACACTGGAAATACGGAAACCGAAAAGGTTCAAGAAAGGTTAACGTTAAAGGGCCATTGTTACTGACTGCCCCAAACTTGCATCCGTACAGCCTTTCTTGAATTTTTGTCACTTTCCTGTGTTGCTTGGCGTTCAGTGAGTGCGCATGCCCGAGGGTTTGATTTATGAAAGGTAACATGAATTTGAGGGGGAACTTAATGTAATGCAACATAGCTAAGCGCCAAGAACAGCTTGCAAACCTAAGGATTTAGGGCCACTGCAGCAAACCATGGGTGACAGGTGATTCAGTCTGCGACCCCAACCTGGTCACATCTGTGAACAACCTGTTTGGTATGATTCAGTCTCACTGTTATACTTCTGTGCTTGGAATCAAACAGGCAGCATGCTAAAAGATAGGTTGTGATGCTGAGAACGGCTAGCGTAAGCTAACAAGCTTAGGCTACAAAGGTTGGTTTAGCTTTTTTTCTGCATTAATTTTTAACATACCTTGACCACCACGCTACTTGAGTGTTCTCAATAAGTGAGAGATTTGTACAGTGCCCATAAGTGCACCTGTACAGAAGAAAATGGCATAATAATGGCTAATAGAAGTATGTTTTTCATAGCTTCGTGTCAAAATGAATTAATCTTAGACAATATTTAAAGAAATCTACTTTATTTGGAATTCAGTGCATCCTGATTTCTTAGATGCAGGTTTTATGGGATATGGATCTTGCGGAACAGATAATTAGAAGCTAGCTATCACTGTTTTAGGGAATGTTCTTCCATTCGGATACCTCTCCTGCTCGCTCTTAATCATTTTCCAGCACAATGTTAACTCTTCGGCGGCTTGAGTCAGTGGTTCATACTGGTAAGGCTGAAGACGCACTGCCTGATCAGAAATATTTTCCCACATCAATGATGGGGATGGTAGTGAAGAAAAATCGTCAGCCTCGTAAGACCTCGAAGTTGCAAAAGTGCTGTTTGATTCGGTCACTCTCCATATTTTCTGGTAGCTGACGTTAGCTATAAAAACCCAGCAGCCTAGCCCGCCCGGTTTCCCTCGCAGCCCTACCTCCAAACCCAATCACTGCAGTGCCCCTCCTAACATGGAGTCAGCTGAAAATAGTGGGGTGTATTTACTGTTTAACAAGAAAACACCTCCAAACATACAGCCAAAAGTACAAAGCCAAAAGATATTACAAGTGCAAATCTGAAGTGACAGAAGCACTGGAAGGAATATTAAATAACAAAAAACGTGTGAGTGAAAGGACGGTGTGAGACTGGCACAAAAGCATGTAGACCTTTTTGGTCTTGCCTCCTTTTTGCTCAATATAATGCTACCATTACATGTCATTAACCTAAACTTGTTTTAGCAGAATATTAGACTGTATACACAGTTGTCTGCACTGAATGCGCCTCATCCTGGAGTCAAAGTTGAACAGTGATAGACTCTGAAGGAGAATTTCTCTCCTCCCACCCATCTTTCTTGCACTCCCTCCCCCTCTCCCTTCTTTTTTCTCTCCTCCTTTGAGTCTCTCCATTCTATTTCTGCATCGTTTTTTTCCCTCCAAAAGTGACTCAGCTGGAGCTGGATGGGTTTGTGTTGAAGGTGAGAAATAAGACATGATTATGAAAGAGAATAAGTGAGAAACTGTGAGTGAGAAAGATAGACAGCAAAGGCCATTCTGGCACAATCAGCTGTCAGCACTAAGTAACAGACATAAGCACGCGTGCACACGTTCTGTTTACATGAAAGCCCTTCAGCGACAATGGAGAACCAGCTGCACACACAATCTGAGACTAATTACAGAGCTGTGTGTGTGTCTCTATGGGTGAAGCAAAAGAGGGATATATTTCAGCAGCCACTCTGTTAACCTTAAGACATTAGGTAGCAAAGTCTAAATTTGACTGTGTGTGTGTGTGTGTGTGTGTGTGTGTGTGTGTGTGTGTGTGTGTGTGTGTATGTGTATGGTTCAGTCACCTGTACCTCTGACACAGTGTAATCTCTTTTTGCTGGAAAATTGTGACATCCCCCAGACGGAACAATGTTGGTTGCTAAGCAACAGATCACAGAACCTCACCCTTCCCCTCTCCTTTTGCTCCCTCTCTCTGTCTTTCCCCCATTCTTCCTTACATTCCACCTGTTGGTCTCTCTCTCTCTCTCTCTCTCTCTCTCTCTCTCTCTCTCTCTCTGTGTGTGTGTGTGTGTGTGTGTGTGTGTGTGTGTGTGTGTGTATGGGGCAGATGGTCTGCCTTG